CATCGCTCTCCTGCATCCTTCTGTTGAAGTTCATACAAAGACTTGAGTTCAGTACCCCTGTCACTTCATTAAACATCAAAGTTATGTTCAGAAAACAATGTTTAATTTTTAACATAATTTCTTTCAAAAAATGAAGGGTAAACATTTTGAAAAAAGTCTATAAGATACACGTTCAAACTGTCATCTGCTTTTGCAACCTCAAGCAGTGTCCATCAAGGCTGTCCACTTCCTCCATTTTTGTTTAACTTCATCATAGACCTATTGATGGAAATAACACTCTCGTCGGCTGAATTTCTTTCATTGATCTCCTACCAGGAGGTTCACTTATCGATTAGAATACGCAGATGATATAGTCCTGTTTAGCGAAGACGCTGATAAAATGCAGTCTTCTGGTAGCACTAAGCAACAATGCCAGAATGTCTGGGATGCGCTTCTCTCCCTCTAAATGCACATTGTTACTAAAGGACTGGCCTGAGTCAACACCTGAACTAAGAATAGGGAATAAAGTAGTCGAACCCGGTGACAACTTCACTTATATTGGAAGTCTGATCAGTCCTAATGGGTTAGTGTTTGACGAAATCTCTATACGGATTCGAAAAGCTCGTTTGGCTTTTGCCAACTTAGGTCATCTATGGCGAAGGCGAGATATCCGTCTATCAATAAAAGGACGAGTATACTGCGCGGCAGTTCGTTCTGTTTTACTATACGGCAGCGAACATGGCCATTAAGAGTAGAAGATACTTGTAAGCTACTAGTATTTGACCACAGATGCCTGAGAAATATTTCTGGCATCTGCTGGGATCACTGGGTAGGTAATAGTGAGGTTAGAGGCAGGGTATTAGGGAATGATGGAAAATCAGTTGATGAGGTTGTAAATCTTCATCGGCTGAGATGGTTGGGCCACGTGTTACGTATGCCTGAACACCGATTACCACGACGCGCAATACTGGGCGTGGTTGGAAGAAATTTAGGGGAGGCCAAACCAAAACGTGGAATCAGTCCACAAAGTCACTAACTTCATGTATGAGCGATGTTAGTAGATGCAGACTACTCAGTTAGGGTCCACGTGACTATCGTAACCAATGGTTGGAGACTCTTGGTGACATGGCTTAGAATCGATCACAATAGCGTCGGTGTAAACACTCTTTGTCTTCCCTTAAACTATGAGATTAAAATGGCTTCATATCTTTCTACGCACTAAATCTTTCTTCCTGTATTATGTCCTTATATGCAATCTTTTTTATATATTACCACCACTGAATTAACTACTCCTATGAATCCGGTGTTCATTTTGCTGTGCTAATACGGTATGGGAACTTGGACCGATGCATATATGTGCCTAGTCCTACGTTGTAGCTGACTGACTGACTTTGTTTAGAAACACTAAATTCGATATGAACAATCCGAAAAAATTACGATTAATAAATAATCCATGAGAGAGCCTTAAATGGTAAACACGTGACAACCGATTGATCTTGTCGTGCCGCACTTTATTTAGGCAAGTAAAACGGCACATTGATGGAATGGGAGGTTGGATAGTGACGAAGGAAGAACATGTCTGTCAATGGCAATCGTATTAATATCTGTGTTTGAGCTGAAATACTGACGAAATAGAAGCCAGAAGTCCTTTTACGAGGCTACATAACCTAGAAGACAAACCGACAAGAGAGTGAAACAACGTCAGGTGATATAGTTCTATGGTGGCCGGTGACTAAAACAGGTTCGTATAATTGTTGTTTGTTTAGGATCCCAGAGACCATGAAGGGTATTGGTTTGGAATTAAGGTTTTTCAACCATAGCTATCTTTATTCAACAACTTGATTTAAGCTTCACAAGTCAGCTTTTCTACTTTTCACTTTCATGAAAACACCCTTTCAGTGAGGATTTCCTACCAGAAGTTGTAGACATTCAGTCGTATGAGAGCATTTAGAGAATAAGTTTCCATAAGCAACAAAAAAACTTACCTCTACGTGATCCAACCTGAGTCCAACCACCAGCGTTACCAGAGTCATCTTCATATAGAAGCGAATCAAATTCAGAAGGAACAGCTAAAAAAAGCGAAGATTTCAGTAGCGAAAGATGACGATACTATATATATATATATATATATATATATACAGAATAATGCTTTAACTTACTTCTTCGCGGACCACTTCGACTCCAAGTATCTTTGGAAGGATCACTACGGAGAGTTGGTGTATTATCGAAACCAACTATATATGTATAAATAAATAAAATGAAAAAAATTTTGTAACAAAGGGATTCTTCGCACATGAATAAAATGTTTGTTTTTATTAGGAAAAAATATCTGATTTACCTCGTTTACTTCCGGATGACCGACCAAAATCTGAATATCTTGACGTATCATCACGTCGAAAGTCTAAAGTGAAATTAAAAACGATAGTTTGTAAATTTGTGTTAGTTTCAGGATAAAGAGGTGTTGTATATTATATAAGCACCAGGAAGCACGAACGAACAAGCACACAACTCATGCGTACACATACAGTACTTACTTTACTTACGCCTGTTACTCCTCGTGAAGCAGCATAGGCCGCTCACCAGCATTCTCCATACAACCCTGTCCTGGGCAATCCTTTCGAGCTCCGTCCAGTTGTAATTCATCCTTTTCATATCTGCTTCTATTATCCGACGCAATGTGTTCTTTGGCCTTCCTCTTTTTCGCTTCCCTTCAGGATTCCAAGTTAGGGCTTGCCTCGTGATGCAGTTCGACGATTTGCGTAATGTATGTCCTATCCATTTCCATCGTCTTTTCCTAATTTCCTCTTCACCTGGAAGTTGGTTTGTTCTCTCCCACAGAAGGCTGTTGCTGATGGTATCCGGCCAATGGATGTTGAGTATCTTGCGAAGACAGCTATTTATAAATACTTGTACTTTCTTGATTGTGGTTGTTGTAGTTCTCCAAGTTTCAGCTCCATACAGTAGAACTGCCTTGACGTTGGTATTGAAGATTCTCACTTTGATATTGGTTGAAAGTTGCTTTGAGTTCCATATGTTCTTCAATTGTAGGAATGCGACCCTTGCTTTGCCGATCCTCGCCTTTACGTCTGCATCTGAGCCTCCTTGTTCATCGATTATGCTTCCCAGATATGTGAAGGATTCTACATCTTCCAGAGTTTCGCCATCAAGAGTGATTGGATTGCTGTTCTCCGCTTTGAATTTGAGAACCTTGGTTTTCCCTTTGTGTATGCTGAGGCCTACTGATGCAGAGACTGCTGCTACACTGGCTGTCTTTATCTGCATCTGTTCGTGTGTACGTGATAGGAGGGCTAGGTCATCTGCGAAGTCCAAATCGTCTAATTGGTTCTGAGCTGTCCATTGTATTCCGTGTTTTCCTTCAGATGTTGAGGTCTTCATAATCCAGTCGACCACCAGAAGAAAGAGGAAGGGAGAGAGTAAACAGCCTTGTCTGACTCCGGTCCTTACTTGGAATGCATCTGTCAGCTGTCCTCCATACAGTACAAAAATGTTTTTGGAAACACAACAAAATAACGTACTAAAAGTGGAGACGAACTAATGACATTTATGGTCCTTCCAATTGGGAAATACAAACTGAAGGTGAAAATGGGTGCTTTTTGGTCGAAAATGAGAAATTCAAATTTCCAAAATGAAATTACAAGAATGAGACGTTTACCATGTGATTATTGGTGATCTAGCATCCTCCAACAAACCATACTAACATCATAAGTTATATTACTATAATTTCAACTGTTTTAAGTTGTACACCTTGTTACTTATTTTATTTCACTGAGTCAATGTATATTTGTATCAAATGTTGAGTTGGTTATATCACCAATCAAGAATTAGTAATACGGTCTGGCGACAACAAACAGATGATAAATATGAAATAACTATGTTTCACGTTTAAACACTTGAAAAACTAAACTGAGCATATTAGATCCATATATATGATACTAGATAGTTGAGACAAAAGATTAGATCATATGATGAACAAATCCTACCAACAATAAAAAACGAAGTTTTATAGATCAAAATAACTAATTATTGACATGAGTTATAAGCAATCATATAAAGTAAAATTCAGAGTAGAATATAGTGAAATCAGAGTCATGTATATAACATTCACTTATATTCCTATACCCGAATATGTCTTTTAATTTAAGTTAAATGCGTAAGGTCACATTGTCGTTGCATTACTAACTCACTATGACTTGTACTTAGTGACAATTACTCCGTTCATAAATCTTAGTAATTACAACTGGCTAACTAAAAAATCATTTTTACTTATATTGAAGCCATTACAGGTAAGTAAAGTTGCATTACAAAACTGAACGTTCCTCTCTCTCTCTTTAGTTAATGAATGGGAGGGGGTAGGAAACAAAAAGGCAGAAATAATTTTGCTCATTGTAAATAAGTTTGAGTTGCACGGATGCATTAAATTCTTATAATCCAATAAACTTTTTAAAAAAAACTTACCACGGAATGCGTTACCAGAAGCACTACTAATTTCAGATTGACGATGTCGAGCAAAAGGATTAACCGATACAGGTTCATCTGAATATTGTTGTTTTTTTATTTTTTAAACAAAAAAGAAATTATTAATTAGCCAGTGAATGAATATCGAAAAGGAAGGAAAAAAAAACCCAACAGTTATAAATTCACATACATGTATTGACATCAGCTTCAGATTTCTCAGTAGATAATTGTCCACTTGTCATAGTAACTAAATTTTGGGTATGAATTTTGAAAGATGCATGTTTTACGTACAGATATGAACGGTAAAAATAGATAGAATAACAATTGATTTAAGAATTATTTGTTTTCATTCACAGGCATATAATTTTAATTCTATGTCTCTAAACATAACGGTCTATTAGAATGAAAAGTATTCCATCTGAATTAAGACTTATATAAACAGAGCTGAGCTATGTTGGTAGGTGTAGAGTATCTGGTTGGGGACCGCCAGATGATAGCAACCGATGGTTAGAGACCTTGAATGACATGGCTTAAAATCGTTTGCAATGGAGCAGGTGCATACATTCATTGTGTTCTCCCGAATTCTTCATGTCCCTGTTTTCCTCTTTCCAAATTGATTTCACTGGATTATACTCCTTGAATAATATCTTCAAACCCTAATCTTTCCGATTACTGCTTATACTCTTATTACCTCTACCACCATGGGATTTGAATTGACAACTGCATCTCTATGCTAAGGTGGTATGGCAACTCGAACTGATGTACGTACGTACAAAGTTCTACGTTGTTAATGACTGATTTATATAAACAGAATATAGGTGACAATGCCAAGGCTGAACATGATAAATTCAATAAACGGTTTTTAATAGAAAAAAATATTCAATAATTAAAATTTTGTGGTGTCCTATTCAGTGGAAATTCGGATTTTTGACGTTTGATGATGACTTAATGTAAGTCACTTCTTCAGGGTAAATAATAATAATAGTTTAAACTTGTGTTGATTTAATCCGGTTACTTGTTTAGTCTGAAGAAAATGACTTACATTAAATCATAAAACGTCAGAAATCTACCTTTATATTCATTGGGATATAACAAGAATAATGACTGTTCTAATTCATGGGTTTATTGTTTCTACAAAGGGTTCTGATTTAATGAAGATATATATGTATCTACAACGTAGGAACAGGCACATATGAATCGGCCCAAGTTGCCATACTTTATTAGCCATGCAGCTATGAACAACCTGGCCGCGATCCGTGCCAATCAGTGATTGGAGACGGGCGAGATAGTTTGGAATCAGTCACAATAGTCTATGCGCATTCACCATTCCTCTTTCCCAACTTACTTACTCCTGTAAGCATAGGCCGTCCACTAGTATTCTTTTTCCTTAGAACTTATAAACTTTGTTTAAATAAACCACTTTTTTCTATGTATAATTTTTTAATACTAACACTTGCACTACATTGACAATTTTTTTGATTTTATCTCTGTGATGATATAGTGTGGCATCTTAAATTGATCCACATATGTTCCACCTCATACATTGATGATAACTGATATTTTGAAGCACAGGTTAGGTACGGCTTATTGTAAGTGTTTTGTGTAATCAATTTTTGTATGGAATTTTCTAATGGAACAACTGGTGGTTGATTAAACAACAGAAAAAACAACAGAAAAGATAACTAATTTTGCCACATTCATGAATATGTAAAGAATCCAACTCTTTTTTAAGGAGATGATTATTTTGTGCATGCCAGTAAACTCATAATTTAATCAGTGGTATAATGAGTATTTCGTATAATCATCTAGGAAATATATATGAGATGGTGGAGAAGATTTGTAGATCAGGTGGATGATTTTGATGGAGTTTTTTTCTCTGAGCTGGATGGTTTGGTCGTGGAGCTTTCATCGTTCGCCATATGCATATGGAGAAATTCGAACACATGACTTCTATTTGAAGTTTGTGCTGATGATTTCGTTCAGAAGAACGATAAGAACTCCACGACCAAACCATCCAGCTCAGAGAACAAAACTCCACCAATATATATATATATATATATCCCAACATATCATATATTTAGTCTATAAATCTAGAGTATTCAGAGTAATTCATTAAATTATTTTTAATACACTTTGAACTTATCATTTACAAACTGAAAACTACAAGGATATGAGTCGATTAACTTGAAGTTATATCTTTCAATCTGATGGTTTAAGGAAAGAGTGTACGCATCTACACCATTGTGATTGATTCTGAGCCATGTCACTCAGTCTTCAACCATTGGTTACGCTAGTCACACGGACCCCAACCAAGTAGTCTGCATCTATCAACGTGGCTCAGACCAGGAGTTAGTGACTTTGTGGACTGATTCCACGTTTTGGTTTGGCCGCCCCTAACATTTTACCATCCATCCCCGACATTATTCAGCATTGCGCGCCGTGGTAATCGATGTTCAGGCATGTGTGATACATGACCAAGCCCTGTTAGGCGATATAGGTTCTCAACCCCACAAACTGATTTCTTATAAGTGAGGAAGACATTAATTTCTTGAGAAAAAGTTGTTATTTAAAATACAGTGAATGACAAGTTGAAGTGTTTTTTCTTTGATATTTCCCAAATGAATACATGGCGTAATTATATTTCGTATTGATATGTTACTTGACCTGGAAAGTTACACATTAGATTTTACCTTTATTGAATTTAATAGTTTCTCATATAAAGAATATCAGCAAGTCAACAAAAAAATAAAATAAAAGCATAACTCGAAATAAATACAAACCTCTTTTAATATCTCCACGTTTCCATGCCTTGGACTCTTCCTCAATTCGAGCAGCCTCACGTTCTGCCGCTTCTTTAGCTTCTATAATATATCCATGAAAGAAGTAGGAGGAAAGAAAAACAGTGCAAAAATAATAAAAGACTACTTATCAATCGGAAAATGTTTTAACTAATTTATTCTGGTTAGTGTTTTTCTAGTAAGGTTTTTTTTCTACGGGACACGGTTTCTGACCCCATGCCCAACTCTCCTTTATCCGGACTTGAAACCGGCAGTAACCCTAGAAGGGCTACAGGTGTAAGTAGTCAGTAGAATTAACAATTATTATCATCAATGGATAATGTTTATTTTGTTAACTGAATATTATATATTAGTCTAGTCTATCACTTCGACTTACGCTCCATAAGACGTAATACGGGTAAGTAATTAATTATTCTATCATCTAAAAACTTGATAAGATTAAAGTGAAACTCTTAATGTTGATCAGGTGTGATGTAGTGTCTATGTCGTTAACAGGAATATAACAATTACAGTGAATATAATATGGACTAGATATTGAGATAAAACCGTTCTAAAATATACTGTAAAATTAAATAGATAGAACCTATTGGTTAATTCTATTATAGACAAATGAAATACCAGGATTTATTAAAAGTTGAGAATCATAAATTCTGTGCCTTTACGATACTGGACGTTGTGAACAAACAACAACATATTACTTATAAACAAAGTTAACAAAGGAAAACGGGAAAGAAGAAGGCCAAAGAACGCATTGCGTTGAGAATTGGAAGCAGACATCAAAAGGATTGTCTAGGACAGAGTTCGATGGAGAATGCTGGTGGGCAGCCTATGTTCCTCCACGAGGGGTAGCAGGCGTAAGTAAACAAAATTGATGGGTGATTAAGTTAGAATAAAATCAAAATATTAGACAGTTAAAGAACACTAACTTTAGTGGTAAAGAAATAAGAGATAAGTGAACAATACAAAATAGATGAAGTGAATAGAACGAAGGATAACAGTCAGTGTTATCATTGAACCATTATCAGGAAAATTATTTTTCAAACTAATAATTAAGATATGTATCTGTGAATTTGTAAGGGCATCTACCTCTTAATATTCAGTATTCGTGTAATATTAAGAGTTTCTTTTTCATCCATTGAGTATGTGGATGCTATAGAAGAGGGTAATTTTCACTAATGATTCCATAACTTTCACTTTATTTGCTTTTTTTGATCCGGTAAGTCAAGATACACTACAGAGTAGTGTATTCACTGAAGACATATGCAAATAGATTTCAATGAATCAAATTAAGTCCCAAATGAGAATTGCACTGTAGCATTGAGACACTAAACGAACGGAGTACTTGAAAATGGCTGGCATAGCAATTTTACTGAATAATGAAAACGAACGGTTATCCTCATATACGAATGATCAACGAATTGAATTTGATTGAATGTGAAAATGTTGGGGACGTTAGATCCCCAGAACTCAGTTGGAAAAGGACCTAATTTTGTAATTTTATTTAGAAAATTTGAATTTCTTTGTTTACGCGCGAAAAGCGCTCTTTTCACATTCATGTCGCATTTCCCACTTGGGAGAATCTTAAACACTATTGGTCCGTTGTGTCTTTTGTAACGCTTCCCAAGGACGTTTTTATTCTGTATATATACGTCTTGATTTGTGTCTGTTGTGATCGCTCGTTTCTGGCAGTTTGCGGAATATACTTCCCCATTCGAACTTCGCCTTCTCTCTCTAGTAAGCGGGTATGGGACGCAACAGAATAACTATTTATTGGTCTTTGGTCACAAGTCTTTGTTTTGTTCGCAGACTAAGTGAACTCATAACCGCTTCAAACCTAGCAGAAACAATTTTAGAAGCCTGATACGATTCACTTTGAATTTGGAGAGAATACACCTACACAAACCTGTAATCATGTAGCGATTTCGCGTAAGAATTTTGTACAAGCATATACAAATATGTTTTAAGGCTGAACACTCATTCATTTAACAAATAAGCGTGCCACCTTAAACTTATTAATTATTTTATACTAATTCACATGACTAATTATAAGTTTTTATTTATGTATAATTTTAATGTGTAACTGTTTATATGTCATTGACGATTTGGACAAAATAAACTCACCCAATTCACCACTTATGGTAACATTAAACAACACACATTATACAATGTAATCTGCACATTAATAGATGGAAACTCATATTTTCTTTGCCCCCAAGTTTGGTCCGTTGATTAGGGCTTTATGTTTTGACTTTTGTTTTAACTCTGATAGGAATAATCATGGTAGAAGCGTTTGGGTCTACTAGTGATACAAATTCACTCGGGACCTCAGTTATATCTAGTTAAAGTCTAAGAACATAGAATACAACATTTGGTATTTTTAAACAAAATCTAAGAAAAATGAAATACCTTGTTCTCGTTTCTGACGTTCAGCTTCTGCAGCTAGTTCACGTTGTTTCTGTTCTTCACGTTCAAGTGCTTCTTGTGCAGCTCGACGACGTGCCTCAGCTTCTAATTCAGCCTCATGTTTAGCTCTTCTTTCAGCCAATCTTTCCGATCGTTTTTGATCACACAGAGCCTCCCATTCTGCCAATTTAGCTCTATACCGATTATCACGAGCTTCTTTTAATTGACCAACAAGACGCTACAATTGTACATAGTAAACAAAAATGTCTGAACTATCACTGGAGCATCAGAGTGATATAAATCTGATGATCGAGAAATCTTAAATGAGTTCATATCACATTGTGCTTTATGGAACTAGAACTACGGTGGAAAATAGTTCCAAATGTTTGATGCTATCAATAAATTAGTGATGAAAAAGTGTGGCAAGTTCTATGATTTATTAATGCCCAGTACAACGTGGATTTATTTTCAAAGAATTTGAAATTATACAAAATGTTTGATCTTCAGAAAGAATTTTTCGATCAGTCGTATACCTTAATTACACTCTGTAGTAGTATTTGATAGATAAACGATATTCGTTTGAGATACTTCATAAGGTTTAACGAAGACAGTAAACACAACGAAAGCACCCAACTATTATATATTTACGACATTTTGGTAGTATTAGTGATGAGTAAAGTTCAGAACCCTCGAAACCAAGTATGCCACTTATGATTTATTTCATGAAACTTTTGTAAAATATTGCTCTATCACACTGAAGTTTCCTACAGTCAGTCGGTTAGTATTAATGTAGAGCTAGGCACAAATTTGTGGTAGCTTAAATTATCCAATCGCATCAGCACAACAAGACAAATACCAAGGGAGTCGAAATGATATCAATGCGAATACTTATTGAGCATTTGACTCCAAAAGTGTAAGGACCAAGAATATGGCTTGGGAAGACAATGGAAAGATATATATGAAGGGAAGCAGGAATTCAAGATAAAAAGTACGTACACTTGGGCCATCATAACTGGTCTTGAGCCATGTTAACTACAGCCTCAAACTATTGATCTCGATAATTGTACGTACTTCAACCACGTAGTCGAAACATACCTACATGGTTTAGTTTAATTACCAATGACTTTATGGGGTGATACGACGTTTTGCTTTGGACACGCCTAGCTCTTTTAATCTACTAATACACCAGCAAACATCGGGGTTCGATGTCGGTGATCGTTTGACGTACGCGAAACATGTTCCGACCGTCTTCTCAGTTTGTGAAGGTCCACTGATTTACCAAAGAATATACCGTCACATATTACTTTACGTCTAACTTCGGAATAGCTCACTCCGTCAGAGACCGATGATCAAACATTGGTAACCTACAAATATTCTGTTGTTGAATGCCATGTTTTACAACCATAAAGGATAACAGAACGAACTGCGCATTTTACTCATTCTTTCTTGGCTTCTTGTTTCCCGATTGTTGAAGACTATTGTAAAACATTTACCAAATACGACGTTACACAGCTTTCAACCAAACTCCTTAGGTGAGCGGTACTAACTAGCTGACTGAACCGAGCAAAATATGTGAATCGGGTTTTAAACCTTGGATATATTGTTCTAAGCTAGACATTAAAAACAAGACAATTTGAATTAACCTTCACAACTAAAAGTAAGCTAACAAGACAGTTTAAAAATGTGTTTTGAAATATATAAGCTTTTCATTAGACCATAAGTTGCTTCAATTGTGAAAATCTGTTACAAGGAGCATCAACAGGTAACAATTTGTAAGACAGTCAGTCAACCAAATAGTGAATTTTTATTTTGAACATCCGACTTAAAAAAGAATGATTGTTTATTTAAATGGTATTAAAAACTAATTAACAGGAGCAATTTATTTATAGTAAACTTTCAAGAATTCACTCGTTAAAAGATTTCGGGGACATGTACTACAACCAAACATTATCACTCAAGATAAAACTGTCAGTAGATTAGATATTTCACTTTTCCTAGCACTATGAAATGATTTGTGAGTTAGCATTTACAATAGTAGAGTGATTGCTTAGTATTTTAGGGCTTTCCACTTTCAGCTATTAAGTCATAGATTTAAACGTTATTCTATCTACTTCAGTTTCGGCAACCGGGCAAGTATTACTAGCACTAAGACTTGAAGTGTGGCCCAAAGTCAAGGACACACATCTGTACTTGCAAAATAAGTTAAAACAACAGCTATGAACAAGTTACCTACGAAGTTTGAAAACAGAAAAAAACATGCAAAAAAAACGAATACCTGGACATCTGATTTCATTCGAATCAATCGATTACGTTCTTTCAATTGTCGTGCATGCTCGGCTTTCGAATGCTCCTCAATTTCTCTGACACTCTGCTCAAATAATTCACGAGATTCAATAGCTTCCGGCTCAATATTTGCCTGTAACAATGGGATTTCTTCAATTCGACAAGCACGTGTATAATAGTCCAATTTTTTCGCCATTGTTTTAGCCTTCTCCGCTAGTTCTTTTCGCTTTTTCTTCACCTCTTGTTTCTGAACAATGAGAAACAAACAGAATGATTAAAACTAAAGTAGGAAAATAATAATTATCTTGACCATAGACAAACGCCAAACAATAAAATTACTACTATTTATTAAAAATATATTCATTGTTGGATTAAGTCATATTGTTATAATTCTCTCTTATTGCAAACCAAGCTATTCCTATTGCTTTGTATTCTCGGACACCAATTCACTCGACAAGTCCTCAAATCAGAACACGGTTGAACAGGAAAGAGATTATATTCCAAAGAACAAGGTTAGATGGAAGTAAGAAGCACAGTAGGAAAAACGCTAGGATATTTATAGCTTTTTACAGAAGATTCGAGAGAGTACTCTGAATATCGACTAGCGCTGATTAAATAACAATTAGGCAATCAGTGTGCATCAACACAATTGTACATTGAGCATGCTTTAATCCAATCTGTGTCCCACTAACACATGTAGATGGGTGCAGACAACTCGGCTGAGGTCCGTGTGATTATCGTAATCAAAGATTAAAGGCTTTCGCTGACATGGGTATACATGGTTTCCGATTTTTTGTCTCCCTCTCAAATCCTGAGATTATGAATCCCTCATGTTTTTTTCCTTTCCGAATCGAATCTTCGATGCCTGATTTTTTTCGCTACCGTTAATACTATTACTATGTCTACTACTCTGAGATTTAGTAATGGGGTATGGCAACTTAAGCCGATGTGCACATGTGGCAGGTTCTACGTTGATTATGACCGAATGACTTATGTATTCAAAAATAAGACAATGGAAAAAATGTAAAACATTTGTTGCTAAGGTGGTCATGGGATAACTCAAATTTTGTTAATAATCTTAAAGTCTTACGAATAACGGTAACCGCGAATGCTTTCTTTTTAACTCAATTTATTACATGACCTTTGCCCATTTCTGATTAGTTGTCACTACTTTTCTGTATGTCTCAAAGTCACGCTTTCGTTACTATATATGCTAAGATGTGCTCAAATATCTAGTTTTTTTTACATTCTATCTTACAGTGGCAGCGGATAATTATTAAAATGTTACATGTAAGATGTATAGTTTATTCAAGTTCAGATTTGTCTCATTCATATTAGAAAACCAACAATTGTTCATCAACAACATTTGCCGTCAACCCAATACATAATCGTTTATAATCAAGAAATGACACTTGCAATAAAAAACTAAACACAAAAACATTCCATTTCATGCTACCAAAAGAGTGCTGAACGTAACTGAAATCAACAATTAGAGGAGGCGAAGAGAGATTAAGCTTTTTTAATCCGAATTTTGATAAACTTCTGTTGATTAGAAACCTAGGATCTGAAGAAGAACAAATATATATATACACCTGCACCATTGTGAATGATTTTGAGCCAAATCACCAAAGGTCTCTAACCATAGAACCAGGTAGTCTGAACCTACCCACAGGGCTCAGTTTAATAGTCAGTGTCTTCATGGATTAATGATATGTTTTAATTTGGCCACGTCTAGCTCTCTCCCGACCTATAAATATACCAACAAACCGAGCGTCTAGATAGTCAGTAGATAAGCATACATATTACATTATTTCAGTTGATCAAAACTCATTTTTTGCTTAATCGATTAGTCTCACTTATAATCCAACATTGACTGAGTATAAAACCATTGTAACCCCCTAAAAATAATTGGTTTAATAACAACTCGAATTCCGAGAGTAAACAAGGGTGTATTGATTTTTCCAGGAAATAATTTTACCAGTCTAGTGGGCAATACTTTAAGAGCATTTTCCGGAAATTTTACAAAACGACAAACACATGTAACACATAAAAGGTTAATTTATAAATGAATAATACTGAGAATAACATACTTGCTTGTTAATAAGTTTATCTGCATCAAAGTTTTCAAGCTGTTCTTCTGTTAACTCTTTTAAATCAAGTTTTGTATCAATTTTTAAATCTAAGAACATTTTCAAACTAGTACGTGCCATTCGTAATTTTAGACGAGCTTTCTCATCTTCAGTTTTCATTCGTTCACGTTGTATAGCTTCATTGGCCAAATTGGTTTCTTCCGCTTTCAATAGACGCTCTTGTTCCGCTTGACGTCTTGCTTCAACAATGCTGTAATACTAGAGTGGCAAACAAAAATAAAGAACGCTCAAGTATTTTTACTATTTTAGTGAAGATAAACTACAAACGACCATCTTTTTTATTTAGTAAAAACAAATTACCTGATCTCGTTTACCCTGATACGTCTCAATCTCTTCCTTTCGGGCTTCAATTAAACAACGTCGATTAAGCAATTCACTGCGTAAGACTTTTTCATTTTTCCGGTAATCTTGAACAAGTGCACGTCGACAATTAGCTAAAGACTGACCAACTTCCAGAATATCAGTTATCTGTTGCATCACTTGAGCAAACATTGTTAGTTGACGAGACAATTTGTCTGGGTCATTTACATGGGTTGACTAAAAAAATTAAAAATAAAGTTACATTATCAAAAACACTTTTACATACGAAAACGCTCAAAATTTAAATTGACGTATATCAGATACTTTCAACGCTCGAAAGTGCAAAAGTAGTTTGTAGCATTCACTAAACAATATGCGATGTCGGAAACATAAGTCTACAATGGCTAGTGAAACAAAAAAGACTTTAATGTTGGGTACCCAGTAGGAAACCTTGGATCTAGGTTTCGTGCTAATTGGTACTCACCAGCAAGGTGCACCTAGAACCTTAAGGGAACTGGAGATCCCTCGTGAATTCAAATCCTCGTCACCCAGCTTCATAGTTTGAGATATTACCAACAAGATATTCGAATCACAAATGACCTATAGGACTGAGATACCTGTAAGTGATTGGTCAGTGGCTAATCAGTTGTAATAGTGGGGACATCTAACATCATGAATAAACCATATTATCTGGAGTTTTAAAGATGAGAAGAAAATTAGCAACTGAGAACCATAGATGCAACTCGTTTGATATTTACATAAGGACTAGGTGATACTACTAACCTATCCAAAATAACGTAGGTAGCGAAAAGTTATGAACATGAAGCTTACTAGTCAGTCTGCCATACATAACCGAGGATCTGACACATATGTGGGTTGGTTCAAGTTGTCACATTAACACAACAAGGTGAAAAAACCAATAAGACTCCCAGAATAGTAAATAAGATTATGCATAGGTAAAATGATTCAGAAAGAAATAATAAATTCGCGGAATGAAAGAAGTTTAGGTATTTGAAAACAAACATTGAATACATCCGAGCTTTTACGACCGATCATGTGCTATGTAACACAACGTATTCAATCATTAGTTACGACAATAGCGCGGACTCCAACCATGCAGTCTGAATCTACTAACACGTTTCAGTCAGATTATCAATGACTTCATCAACTGATGCTAAATACTAGTTTACCCGCCCGTAATCTACTGCTTGAAAAAGAAGTATCTTGATCAGTAAGTTACTACGTAGGTGATAGGATTTTAGATAAATATTCGTGGTGTAAACATTTATCAACACTTAAACAGTGAATCTTGTACTAGTTGAGTTTTTCGTTCTTCATTATTTTTGTTTCTTGTATTTCGTTATTTTTAAACAGTAACAAATTCAGATAATGCATGATTTGGTCCGAATTCGAAAGTTGTTGGGGTTACCATTCTTCCAAAAAGCTATGTAGATGGATTAGGGGCCCTATCAATTTTGATTACTTAAACATTAAGAAACTTTTGCAGGAATACATAAAAACTTATTGGTTTTTACCAACTTTGACAACCTGAGATAAAGAGAAACATATCTATCCGTTGAAAAGGAAGTATTCCAGTAAAACAGTTTGCTTTTGTATTATTTTATAAATGTCGAAGGTCTTCGAAGGGTAGGTAACTTGGTTAGGTTTTTAGTGTTTGGTCATGGATATTTTTAAGCATAATACTTGCGATCAATGAACTCAGTAAGTCGTGCTAACCTTGGACGCAGGGTACTGAGCAGGAATAAAAAATTGACCATTGGCTCAATAGACTACTATCGACTAAAACTGTTTAGATATAAATTCTACAAAGGCCAGGAGTAAAGTGGTCTCAGTTCATAGAATTATTGCTTCCTGAACGTTATCAAGAAATATAGGCTTTCTTGTTGGGGATTGAGGAGAGATTGCAACCTATCGCTGAAGAACTCAAATGATATGGCTTGAAATTAAACACAATGCACTGATACGTTTTTCGATTTTTCTTTAGACTCATTTTTCTTCACTGCATAGGACGTCTAATCTCGTATATTTGGTGTAAATTATATTTTGTAAGTAGACGACTTTTGTTAGTATCAAGGACCAATGGATAGTGGTTTTGTTTATGCTTTTATTTGTTAGATAACATTTAAAATTCTATACAAGAGTCTACAGAAATAACATGACATCATACTTCTAGCTATTGTGAGTGGTCAAAGAATATTCGCGTAAAACAATGAGAATCGATAGAATGGAACGAGACGTTAGAAATTAATTAGTTTTTAAACTTGTTGAAGTTCACATTATATACGTTAAGTAAATAGACGGTACAAGATTAAAACTTGCGTTGTACAAATCAATCTGTACATACACATAAACTCATACCAGTCATTCAGATGGATTTTAACTAAATATTAAGGAACTGGTAGCATAATATACCTGTGATACTAACTGTCCACCATATTCACATTGACTTATTCCAAGATCGGTAAATTTATCAAAGAAAATCGCTTGTTGTAAATGATTGACTCGAATAGGCAGTTCCAAATTATGAATCAACTCAATTACAATCCTTTCAAGTCGAATAGGCTCCATGAATGGACATAGTTTGAAAAATTCGTTGAAATCCAAGCTTTGATAGACTTGAGATAATTGTAGAAGTGTTTTTGCTACGATAACATCATGCAATTGCGTAATGTACACTTGGAGATCTGAACAGGTGGTAATATGGGCAAGTGCTGGTTGAACAAGTTCCCAAAGTTTCAAAGGTTGAAAATCCGCTTCTAGAACTTGGTACAACTTAGCTAAATTTGATGGGACAACGGTGTGCACTTTATGACGAACCAGATCACGTATTAAGCTTTGACGAGTTGGCACTTGAATGAGACCTAGAATTCAGTGAAATGTTACGAATGATTATTGGAAATAAATTACCCAAAAGTCCAGCAAGTGTTTTCTGCTTCATAATAGTGTACTCGCCAGATAAGAATTTGTCAGCATTCAGTTTCGCATTTGGCAAAGGAATGGAAACAGTTGCACAAAGTACACGAGATCCAAGATCAGATAGTTCTTCACGAGTTAAATTCTTTTTCTGATCACGATATAACGTGTAAAGTTTGTGTAAAGCAGCAGCGTGATATAAATGGCAACCGCATCGTCGAAAAAGTTCCGCTGTTTTTGAGTAGTAATTGGTCATTAATGAAGGCATAGCATGTATTCGTGAAATCATCATAAAACTCCAAATATCTTCAACAGTTTTAAAAGCTTCGTTATACATATCTAGTTCCATAGCACAATCCAACTGTCGTAATCTAGTCTCTAAGTGTAATGTCTGTGTTTCGGCATTATTCAAATTTATAGCATTAGGTGCATTAGGTTGTAACTGATTCTGGACTTTTTGAGTATGTTGTCGAATCTTTTATAAGTATGAAGAAAATAATGTGATGGTTAAATGAAGAATTAACATACCAGTTCACACAGCTTTTTGAATTCCGTCTTCCGACCATACTTCAAGCAGAAGTTATAAGCTGTAAAGTGTACGAAAAAGTGGTTAGTAATGTCCAAGACTTACCATCATGAGCTACTTCATGATACAGCTTTTCTAACTTCGAATTGCTACGTAACAAATCTAGCACCAAACGATAGGAATCCCAGAGAAATTTTAACCATGGCATCAGAATCGTTCTAGCAGATCGGTCTTGAGTACCCTCCATACTAACTGCATTTAACATGAGACTATACAATGGAAAGAATAGGAAATAAGCACTTAAATCAACACGTAGAAAACGCAAGCAAAACTTAATTCTTTCATAAATTTAGTCTTTGACTAGTAATGAAAACTAAAAACGATACATTATTCTGTTTCCGATCACTGATTTATATGGCAATACGCAAGTCCATATTGTCTCCTGATCATTTTTGTCAGCTGTTTCAGTAGTAATAATAATTATTACCAACTTATAACTAGGTATAGGTTCGTACACGGCTCCAAGCCATACTAAATGTGAGGGATAGTGATGCTACCTTGTCATTCAAATCTAAGGTGGAGCAGGGTTCGGGCCTGTGACTCCTGAGCCACCTATCACGTATCTAATTTAGGTTGTTCGCTTTTTAGCCACAGTACCAGTGAGGATTAGTGATAACAGATAGTCTCGCGGGCCAAAGCAAATGTAACTGGCTTCAAAAATGTAACCAGTTGATTATAAGCTGAGTGCTCTTATAGGGTTGCTGCCGGTCCCAAGCCCGGGTAAAGGAGGAGGGTTGGGCATGGGGTTAGCGTCCCCATCCCGTAGAAAACTAACTCGCTAAAAAACGCTTACCAGAAAAAATAATCCAAACCATTTTAACTCTGCCCTGGGAGTTAGAAGGTCTTCATTTAGAAGAATTATGACGCTTCATGGTGAAAGCCGAGTTCCTTCGGAAGCCACGAGGCCGATGCCCCTTCTAACAACCAGAGCAAAAATTTTTATAGGTACATGGAACGTTCGAACAATGTGGGAAACCGGGAAGACCAGTCAAATATCAATGGAAATGAGGAGATACAACTTAGCAGTACTGGGAATCAGCGAAACCCACTGAACCCAAGCTGGACAGAAAAGGCTAGCTACGGGAGAGATGCTGCTATACTCCGGTCACGAAGAGGACAATGCTCCACACACTCAGGGAGTCGCTCTAATGCTGTCCAAAGTAGCACGAAATGCACTTGTAGGATGGGAATCTCACGGATCCAGGATCATCAAAGCATCATTCAAAACAAAGAAGAAGGGGATCTTAATGAATATTATCCAATGTTATGCACCCACCAATGATAGCAACGACGACATTAAAGATCAATTCTACGAGCGGCTGCAGTCAGTGATAGAGAAATGCCCAGGAAAGGACCTCACCATTCTAATGGGAGATCTAAATGCCAAAGTCGGAATAGACAACACTGGATATGAAGATATTATGGGACGACATGGACTGGGAGAAAGAAACGAAAATGGAGAAAGATTTGCAAATCTATGTGCATTCAACAAATTGGTCATAGGAGGCACAATATTTCCACACAAGCTTATACACAAGGCTACATGGATCTCACCGGACCACACTACAGAGAACCAAATAGATCATATTTGCATCAACGAAAAATTCCGAAGGACAATGGAAGATGTAAGAACCAGGAGAGGTACTGACGTAGCTTCAGATCACCACCTAGTTGTAGCCAACTTGAAACTGAAGCTAAAAAAGAACTGGACAAGTGGACAAACAGCAATACAAAGGTTCAATACAGCCTTCCTTCGAGATACTGACAAACTCAATGAATTCAAGATAGCTCTCAACAACAGGTTCCAAGCCTTACAAGATCTACTGAAAGAAGAAGAAACTACTATGGAGGACAACTGGAAAGGCATCAAGGAAGCATTAACTTCAACGTGTCAAGAGGTTCTCGGTCTAAAGAAATACCATCATAAGGAATGGATCTCTACAGAAACAGTGGACAAGATCAAAGAAAGGAAGAACAAGAAGGCAGCAATAAACAACAGCCGAACACGAGCAGAGAAAGTCCAAGCACATGCTGAATACATAGAAGCAAACAAACAAGTGAAGAGGAGCATTAGAGCCGACAAGAAGAAATACGTGGAAGAACTAGCAACGACGGCAGAAAAAGCTGCTAGAGAAGGAAATATGAAACAGCTTTACGATACAACGAAGAAACTATCAGGGAAATACAGTAAACCAGAGAGACCGGTCAAAGACAAAGAAGGCAAGCCAATCACCGAAATTCAACAACAGCGTAACAGATGGGTAGAATACTTCGAGGAACTCCTGAATAGGCCGGCTCCAATGAATCCACCGGACATCGAAGCAGCACACATAGATCTTCCTATAGATGTCAATCCACCAACTACGGAAGAAATTAGAATGGCCGTCAGACAAATCAAGAACGGCAAAGCAGCAGGACCCGACAACATACCAGCTGAAGCACTGAAATCAGACATCGAAACAACCACAAGCATGCTTTATCTTCTATTCAAAAAGATTTGGGAGGAGGAACAAGTGCCGATGGACTGGAAAGAAGGACACCTCGTCAAGATTCCAAAGAAAGGAGATCTGAGCAAATGTGAGAACTACAGAGGCATTACACTACTGTCAATACCACGGAAAGTCTTCAACAGAGTTTTGCTGAACCGGATGAAGGATGCAGTAGACGCCCAACTTCGAGATCAACAAGCTGGATTCCGTAAGGATCGGTCGTGCACAGACCAAATTGCGACACTACGGGTCATCGTCGAACAATCAGTTGAGTGGAACTCATCACTATACATCAACTTCATTGATTATGAAAAGGCATTCGACAGTGTAGACAGGAGGACATTATGGAAACTTCTTCGACACTACGGAATTCCTGAGAAGATTGTCAATATAATCCGGAACTCATACGACGGACTACAGTGCAAAGTAGTGCATGGAGGTCAGCTGACAGATGCATTCCAAGTAAGGACCGGAGTCAGACAAGGCTGTTTACTCTCTCCCTTCCTTTTTCTCCTGGTGGTCGACTGGATTATGAAGACCTCAACATCTGAAGGAAAACACGGAATACAATGGACAGCTCAGAATCAATTAGACGATTTGGACTTCGCAGATGACCTAGCCCTCCTATCACGTACACACGAACAAATGCAGATGAAGACAGCCAGTGTAGCAGCAGTCTCCGCATCAGTAGGCCTCAGCATACACAAAGGGAAAACTAAGGTCCTCAAATTCAAAGCGGAGAACAGCAATCCAATCACTCTTGATGGCGAAACTCTGGAAGATGTAGAATCCTTCACATATCTGGGAAGCATAATCGATGAACAAGGAGGCTCAGATGCAGACGTAAAGGCGAGGATCGGCAAAGCAAGGGTCGCATTCCTACAATTGAAGAACATATGGAACTCAAAGCAACTTTCAACCAATATCAAAGTGAGAATCTTCAATACGAACGTCAAGGCAGTTCTACTGTATGGAGCTGAAACTTGGAGAACTACAACAACCACAATCAAGAAAGTACAAGTATTTATAAATAGCTGTCTTCGCAAGATACTCAACATCCATTGGCCGGATACCATCACCAACAGCCTTCTGTGGGAGAGAACAAACCAACTTCCAGGTGAAGAGGAAATTAGGAAAAGACGATGGAAATGGATAGGACATACATTACGCAAATCGTCGAACTGCATCACGAGGCAAGCCCTAACTTGGAATCCTGAAGGGAAGCGAAAAAGAGGAAGGCCAAAGAACACATTGCGTCGGATAATAGAAGCAGATATGAAAAGGATGAATTACAACTGGACGGAGCTAGAAAGGATTGCCCAGGACAGGGTTGGATGGAGAACGCTGGTGAGCGGCCTATGCTCCTTCACGAGGAGTAACAGGCGTAAGTAAGTAAGTAAGCTTCTAGTTACTAAACCACCGCTGATTCATTTTCTGTCATTGACTTTAAGGTCACAGCCTGTTTGGATTTTACCCATACCTCAGGTAGGTTGGCCATATGAGTGTTGGTAGCAACCAACTAATTCTCAGTGTATGTTCGGAATATGACCTGCTCCACTACTACAAGAGCTCGAGGTCCAAAACAACTATATGAAAATCATTAAGTGGTTTCTTCAAAGATTGAATGCAATGAAAATGCCCGAAGATATGTTGTCTATTACTAACAACCATGTCTTACAGTCCTTAGGTAAAAAGGTGTATCAACACATACTACAAATATATTGCATGATAATGAAACTCGAAAACACGTAAGGAAGAACTAAATGCACACAACCCACAAACCTTTCTGGAGTTTCCAGGACATCCAAATCCTCAATTTCCATGATAGCACTCTTTGACACTTCTTGAGCTTCTTCAGTTTTACCCTTTATCTGGTTCAGGTAATAACGAATAACTTGCTCGAGTGAAATAGTGTTTTCCTAATAGATATTAGCGGAATAAAAATATTAAGGATGGAAAAGAGATTACCATAACACTCATATTTTTGTACGTATAAATTGCTTTTCTGAAGTGGATGTTCTTACGGAGTTCTACACAAAGTTCAACAAACAGCATCATTAATTCTTCTAAGACCTTTTGCCATTGTTTAGTTCGTCTAACTCGCATCACTTCGTACAAAATTTCCAAAGCGTTAGACTTTTTGTCACATTTTATAAGTTCTATTTAATAAAAAGGAGAAAATGTTAATTATATATATATAATGCATGTTAATTGAGAGGATGTTTAACAAATTAGCTCACGAAGCAAATGGAAACGGAAAACAGAATAATGTAAGTGCAATAACGCTTTTACGGACCAATTTGTTAAAGATAGAAATCACATATGTACAACATGCAAAAGTATAATACTAATCTTAACGTCTTTTGTATTACTGAAATTCGGAAATTTTTAAAATTGGTGACTGCTTCACTCGTAAAATGTATGAAAATGAGCATTTGTATGGCAGTCACGATGAAAAAAACCCAGAGTAACCAGGCATTTATTTGTACCTTGAGCTTACGGGAAAAATATCAAAAGTTAGCACTAATTAAACAATATTTTCTATTTTTGAGCGAAGATAGGTGCTATCACAGATCGACGTTAACAGATGACTTGACAGGTCGAGTTCCTTTAACAAACCAACGTAGAGGTGAATTTAACAGAACATGTAGTGTAATAGCACGAATAATAGTGAAATTCATGTTGATACGGTAAAACTAAATATATAGACGGCTTAAAATGGAGAAAACTGAAAAATTGGAGTTTTCCAGTGGCACAGTGTAAAATCTCGAAATTGAAATCAAATTATATTAATGTAATTACGTCACTGTGTCCAAATTTGAGCCACCTTACCCACAGTCTCTAATCACTGATTATGACCATTGCAACAAGCAAGTAGTCGACACCTTACACAGCTTAATCCGATAATCGATGACTTTATAGAAAACTAACTTGTTTTGACTGCAATTAGCTTTGCTTTAACATACTTGTACCCCATCTATCATGTCCGAAGGTAGGTGGTTAAAATATTTTCAACATATAATCTACGTCACAGTCGAGTTTATAAACATGTACTTGACATACAAGTTACTCAACTTCGGCTATGGTCCAAACAATAAAAGATACTGATCTTCCTTAATAACTTACATAGACAAGTGCAATAATTAATGTAGATGATTTTAACAATTAAATAGTCTTAGTTAAGCAGGAAATATCAACAGAAACTAGACACTTCCAGCACAGCAAACGCTGCTACAATCGCCCGTTGTAATTAGAATCACTATACATTCGTATGAAGTCAACGTTATCCAAGACTGATTTACTTCTGAATATTTACGGATTTAGAACCAATAGAACTGGTTATAAAATATGAATAGCCACCTCATAGTGTTGAACTAAGGATAGCAGATTAGTGACAACTTCAAGGGTGCATCGGTTCGTGACGCTCTTATATGTACGTTAAGCTTATGCAGTGGTTATGAAACATCTCCAGATAATCATCATCATCTGTTACAGACTAAGTAATGTCTCGAGAGAACTCACAGAAACTGTTTCCTCTCTAATGTTGCACATCACATTATTTTGGTATTTTACTATTTAGTTCTTTACAGCTATATTATGATTATAAAAAGAATAAGTGTTTCAGGTCACCACACAACTTGCAGCAGATAGTTAGAACTTGAGCACTAAGTTATACGTTTCTTAACCAACAAGATAAATAACTTTTGCAGCAGTGTCTGAGGACATAATGCTAAACAAATATAACGTAAAGCGTAAAAATGTGTATTACAATTGTGTCAACCACTGGGTTTAAATTTTTTTCTAAGGATACTAGTTATTCATTCGGGCTAGTAGTATGCAAAGCTAAAAAAATAACCAATGGGCCCTAATAATTATGTCAAGAGCTTCACAAATTCTGAACACTCGTCAACAATTTGCCTCGAGTTTCGCAACATGTTTGCACGTTGGTGACAGCGCTACGAGCAGAATGACATTTAAATGGTCTCGAAAAAAGCTCGTCATTTAATAAAGAATAGATAACGCTAACAATCTAAACGTTTTTCATGGTGCTAGTTTTTAAATATTCTCAACAAGCAAAATCCGTGATTAGTCACTGGTTTCGTATGCCTCGATGTCCCATATGAGAGAATACAGTTGACGTAATTGTTCAAACACCAAAAATGTAAATGCTCGACTTCAACTGGAAATCTATACAATCACTCATAGCTTTGTATAGCTAATGGTTGATTCCCAGAACTGGAAGGAACCCACCGGGACATGACGGGTCGAACAATGTAATTTTTGCAAGGACGTTTACAACATACCTCTTGCTTTAGTCAACGCGGTTTCCGGCTTATGATACTGGCTTGGAGGCATTATCACATGAAGACACGCGAACACACAACGTCCAACTAGAGCGGTACCCACGAATGACTAAAAGTAGCTTCAATCTTGAATCCTCGTCATACAATCCTAGCAGACTTATTGTTCGTTGCGATTCATTCTCAGCCTTCATTCAACTGATTTTTTCTATCGTATGGTTAACACACAGTTTAAGATAAGGTTCTTCTGCTATGACAAATGTGCTTCGACAATGTTTGGAATCCAAAGGTTTTTGAGATGAAACATTTCACTATAAGTAAATGTGGTATTTGAGTTTAGGCCACAGAATATATTTATCTGGTGCCAAAACATAAACTCTCGGACAGAGTACCTTTGCAGAAATATATCCCCGCTACTTCACATATTCCAAAATATACAGTTTCAGTTTGCGGAAGGTCAATGGTAGGATGGCCTGTTAATCCTAATGACGGAGATATTCCAGCGGGCTCAACTTTTTTTCAAAATCCATAGACAAGTTAGGCTTGAGCCGCATGTCAAGGTTGGGAGTTCCATTGGTTGACATTTCGATGGACAAGATGGTACTCGGTTAGCAGGTAACTTATTCCAGACATGCGAACGGTTGAGAGTATCCTTGTGAATTCTCTGTTCCAGAGGACGGCAGAAATTTACGACTGGGCAATTCTAAAACAGCGGAAGTGTCTTTTTTATTTTTTCTACATGACGTGGAGAATAGATTTATTTACCAAACCTCTCTCAACATATCTGTCTTTATTAAGCAGTGGATAGGTGAAGAAGTTTGAGTTTCGTTCGAACAGCCACTGTAAACATGGTGGAAAATGTCATAACATTTTCGCAGACCAAAGATCTACGCAGTGATTAAAGTCTACTTAAACATTCAGCAGCTGAAACATAGCAACAAATATTGGTTTACAAGTCTCAGTTGTCAGTGGACCTTAGATAAGTATATGCCCTAACCACATGCATATTACGGGCATCAGTCGAACATGTATCTGTTCTTGAGCCACAAGCATGTATTATAATGCATGTGAGCAATAAGCAGCAACTGCCTAATTTCGAACATGTTATTTTGAGGCTGTGAAATATTCGTTCCCTACTGTGGTGTATGATGCATTTGTCGACAGACATACGTAACATGTAACACAAGTCAGAAGTGGAATGCCAGGCAACAGAAAGTTAAGAGGATCGGTTTGAAGAGAATAGTAATGCAAACAGAGAGTAATTGTAAAAGCAGTGAAGGAACGATAGAGTTTGAGACAATCGATGAAAGATTTGCAAATAAGTATTTATTGTGTAGTTTTTCATATTTTACGAAAGAACTATGCAATGTCGGACTTAATAATTGAAGTGGTTTTCTCAATCTCAGATGTCGTTCACCACACTCTTATCTATATCTTGAGTATATGATAAGGCTGATCATGAAGAGACTAGAAAATTCATAAGGATATAAGAATAAAATTGGCCATAAAAATGTACTCTATATCAATCAACAAGACATGGTTTTGGGGCTAGATGACTTAGAGTTAATCCGTACACTCCGTTGGCATGTAACTAAGCAAAAATCATAACTTACTCCAACCGTGCCTAATGTGGACGGTGATTCGGTAGGATTTTATCAAAAGCCTTGCCGGAGTTAATAAATTTTATATGTATGGTTAACTTCTGACCCCTCAGAACACAATGATAGCTTATTGAGATATCAATAACCTATTTTGTAGCCATTCTGCTCTTCAGAGTCAATCTAACCTTTCCCAAACACTAAAATAACGTTTTGGAGAATGATCTTGCCTAGTATCTTTACAACATTTGCAATTTTAGCTCTCATGTACACGCGGCTACCTGTTCTAAAAATAAAACTCGCTTTAATTATTGGTTAGTAATGAATGACATAGAGTAAGAGCCACTACTGTCCCATGAGTTTTACTACACTAAGGATATTTGTCCGATAAGAAATAATGAATTTTTGATCGTCGTAATATCTAGAGCAGAAGTATCAAGTATTATTTGTTCCTGAAAGTAAAATGCCTATAGTATACTTATGCTGCTAAAGTAGCCTAAGAATATTTGAGCTTGTCATAATCGTCTTACATTAATGGTGCGCCAGCACCATCTCCATGTAGTCCGGATAAATTCCCTTTCTTCTTCACCCTGCGTTTCGTGCGAGAAGATTCAGTATGATTTTAAACAAACATTGCTTCAGACCCCTTTCTGGACTTGAGTAGATCTTTAGCACAAGCATTTTTAACCTTCCGATTTTAAGACTTGGTCTCACCAGTGCCTAGTAACCTTACTCTTTCCAACATTACTTTCTTTGTACGGCAAGTGGTGTAGACGTTTCTACCGAAACATTGCGAAAATTCGTGGTTTTTAAGGATCGTTCGTGGTATTTGTGGACAGGTAATGGTGGGTTAGTGCATTTACTATCAATGATAATTGTGAACTTGAGTCAGGCCTTGTCGTCTTTTTACTTCCCGTAATGTTGAACACATTGTGACTGCACTGACAAAATTTCAACAAAATTATCTATCTAGTAATTTTATTCTTAAGTTCATTCAGTCATACATTTACGTTATAGTTTCATAGTCTTGGTCACTTTATGATATAGGGCGAAATGTTGAATTTGACGTGAGAACCGTCATTCAACTTACACGAAGTATTATATAATAAATAACATTCCTTACCCCTTAATTTTCAGGCGGGAATTACTTTTTATACTCCACTCTCACGGAGCAATATTCCAGTGAGCACTGTTTCTTTCTTAATAATCAAGGTTCTGTCCATCCTTGAAAGTGTGACGTTTGTGAGGTAGAGTTTAACACTACATAAGGATAGAGCTTGTTGGGTGAACGTAGGTCATTCAAAGACCATTTAAGTAGCTTCGTGTTGCACACCATCCGTAATAAGTCATCTGCTTCCAAAACTTCATCGCCTTAAAACTTATTATCGTGAGATCGTTCTCTCCGGCTTTTGACTCTAGTATCAGTTTATTTTGGGAAAGTCTTTTCGAATAAAACCCCTTACCCACTCAGACTGCCTCCACCTCTCATTATCAAGTTTCTGTATTTTTTAGATCCGAATATCACTTTAAGTAGCCCAGCTCTAGAATCATTTACTTAATCACCTAGCCCATAAAGTTTAGATGAAGCAACCTCAGGGAGTTCATTGGACACTCATCTAACCATTACCAGAAACATATAAATGCTCGCTCACACTAAAATGGGATAATGCAACGCACTACATTTTAAATAACACTGAACTGCTAAAAATCTATTTAGCTGATGTGTATTCGATACTGAACTGCATATCATACCTTCCTTATTCAGAAATTATTAGTACACGTCTTTTCTTCGGCTGTTGACTTCAACTTGATTTCTGATGACCTCAGTTTTCGAGAATATAGGTAGCAGTTCTCAGTGTTGTAGAGATATGGGCGTTTTTGAATGGGAGCGGAATGTTACGCACTTCATGTGTGGTAATACTTTGTTGTATTTAGCGTTCTACCATAATGTCGTGTCTGTCACAGAGAATTTCGGCAAATACGTCCTGTCTCGCGATCATGTATCCCCGTTTTCCATTCATTTTTCAACGAATACAGTATGTAAATAATACCTACATGTTACAGTGTTTGGTTGATCTATATTAATGAGCCACACCTTAGGAGTGATCTCATATGGTTGCACATTTAGTAGATCTTGTCAAGTGAGTCCAACACACTTTCTTCACAAGGTAAGTTAGTGAATACCAAAATGAGAGGCCATATTGTCTATAGCTTGCATCATTAAGTGTTATAATTCTCTTTTCAACTCCCGGGGCAGAATTTAAGTGTTTTAAAATGTTAGTTCTGGCTAGCGTTTTCTAAAGAATAAGATTGCTGACCCCATGCCCAACCCTCCTCCTTTACTCCGGCTTGGAGCCGGCATTAATTCTAGAAGATCTACAAAGGAAGTTATTAGGAACATCAGCATCCATCAAATTTGCATCAGATGTTGATTCATTCAGCCCACTTTTACAAGGATTTCCATCAAAAATATGTGAATCATTGGGACACCTCATACTTCGTAAACCAACATGAGGAATTTATAAGGAATTGATTCATTAGAAGCTTTGTCTCACAGAGATTCCGAGTTGCATTTGATACAGTTGTATCCGTTTTGCTGCTCCGATTATTTTCTCCAACTTTCCTGACAAATATCGCATGAAATATTAGTTTGTTCTGTCTGGAGTTCAATTTCAGAACAATACAAGGCTAAAAAGTCTTCGCGTAATTACATAGGCAAATTTATAGTCAAATCACATAAGTGCACAGCAAGACATCAATATCTGAAAAGAAGCATGGGATACAGTGGACATCTAGGATGCAGTTAGACGATCTAGACTTCGCAGACGATCTGGCCCTCCTATTCCAAACGCAACAACAAATGCAGGAGAAAATGACCAGTGTAGCAGCAGCCTCAGTATCAATAGGTCTCAATATATACAATGGGAAAATTAAGATTCTCCGATGCAACACAGCATGCATCAATCCAATCACAATTGACGGAGAAGATTTGGAAGATGTAAAAACCTTTACATATTTGGGTAGCATCATCGATGAACACAGTGGATCTGAGGCAGATGTGAAGGCACGGATCGGCAAAGCAAGAGCAGCATATCTACAATCGAAGAACATCTGGAACTCAAAACAACTATCTGCCAACCAACACAAAGGTCAGGATTTTTAATACAAATGTCAAGACAGTTCTATTGCATGGGGGAGAAACTTGGGGAACTACGAAAGCCATTATCCAGAAAATACAGGTGTTTATTAACAGTTGTCTACGCAAGATACTTCAGATCCGTTGGCCGGACACTATTAGCAACAACGTACTGTGGGAGAGAACAAACCGGATCCCAGAGGAGGAAGAAATCAGGAAGAAGCGCTGGAAGTGGATAGGACACACATTGAGGAAAGCATCCAGCTGTATCACAAGACAAGCTCTCACACGGAATTCTCAAGGTCGAAGGAGGAGAGGAGGACCAAAGAACACATTACACCGGGAAATGGAGATAGAAATGAGAAAAATTAATAAGAACTGGATGGAATTAGAAGAGAAGGCCCAGGACAGAGTGGGTTAGAGAATTCTGGTCGGCGGCCTATGCTCCATTGGGAGTAACAGGCGTAAGTAAGTAAGTAAGGCAATGCAAAAGCTGACAATATGATTTGAGCATATATATACATGTGGGAGGAAATAAATCATCCATTGATATTTAAACAATCAACATTTTATCTAGAGGAGGTCATGTGACCGAGTGATCATAACGGTACAGAGAAGTTTGTAAATTGTTACTGTTCAAACAGAAATTTCTATTAAGTAAGTAAATGAACGGCCATAACCAAAATTAACTGTAGTCGAAAACGGTTGTAAAATAATTGTAATATAATCCTCGAAAGCTTCAGAATTTGAATGTATATCTAACTGTTCAATCACAGGCGTCATAGAGATGCCAATATGGTAATTAGAAGGACTTGAATTATTATGCGAACTAGGTATCCCCCAAGTAAGGCAGTTTGAATCAGGTAAAACTCGGTCAGTACAAACGAACGTTTTGTATTTCAAATTCGAAATCAACCAGGAAATCGACCATGGACGAAATATTAGTTCATGCAAACACCACAACTCTTCACACGTGTGTGATAATCTGCATATATTTTTTATTTTCTGTGTTTCTTACGCAACTCTCTATTTTTTGTATCCTAATTTATAATCTCATTTATAAAGTACACTTATGCGGAATTCGATTTATTTCGGGCTTTTATATCCACATTATTACTAGCGCGATTATTTGACAGCGAATATATTAAATTGGGTAAGAAATATGCTGTATGAACACCCTCATCTCCTAATAATGCTGGAGTCAAACCGGTGCCTCAATCCTGTTTATATGGCTGAAGTTATTTCTAAGAGATGGGTACCGAATTATTAAGCTAAGCACTGTAGAATCAGCTACTGAGCAGGTAAGTATTGTGTTTGCACAAGAGGGTGTTATAGGACCTGTCTTACTCACTATATACGTCAACGATAAATTAGTGCTGATGCCCCGACGAACACAAGGTTGCGAAGTATTATTACACGAGTCAAACAGAAGACAATTTCTATGTCATTCATATTGAATTGAACATGTGGAGACATGCATGACAAGCTTATTTTGTAAATAGTTTTTGATGTTATTTGTATTTATTCTACTAGTTTTTCATAGCCTGTACATTTACTATTAAATGATTGTACGTGTTGTTTAAGTGCATGACCTTGAACACACTTTCTTCCGTCGTGTTACACTCATAGCATGACACGCTCTGTTACCTACTAACAAATACACTGCTATACACATATCTCTTGTTCTCCATTTGCTCGTGATTGTGTTAACTGAACTCTAAATCAACTACTGTCTACATTTATAGACTGCAACCAAATTATACCATATTCTAAGTTTGGTTATATCACTGGAGGGACATTAATCTTACTAAAATCTTCAGTCATCTATAATTGTGGATTTTGGTACCAAACTCAACCGGAACACACACAAACCTGTTGAGTTAAGTGACGTCTCTAATTTTTGTTGTGTTTATAACGTTTAACTGATATATACTAACACTACAGTTTGTACTTAATAACTCTGTTATCATTTTTGAGTTCATATATTATTTGGTCTACCACAAACAGGGTCACTGAGTATTTTTGTCTCCTTATTCTTTCTTATCAACTTTAACTTCATAAGCGTCCTATTATTATGGAAGCGAGTATTTAAGTAAAAAGGTATGAGGACAAATGATGGTTTGATAGACTTGTAGTTTCATCGACCACAAACTACTTGAAAACAGTATATACTGTTTTGAACGATGGTCAATAGGTAAACAGAGGTCCTAATGTAGCTTAATTTCTGCTGAATGAAGGTGGCTAATATGTCACATATTACTCCTATTCTGATTTAATCATGATTATGTGGTTGTATCTATTAGAGTATCAGTTCAATATACGTTAATTTAAACTTCACAGTGAAATATAACAAACTGAATAGTAAAAATAGGCATCTTTTGTTCGAATTTTCGTAATGATTCACTTTATAAAAATGAATGTGAATATATCGGGTAGCATCCGTTTTTAGGAAATATCTCAAGTGGTAAAGAAGCCACTAAAATAATCAGTTTTATAAATACTTGACAATGATACTGACACTGTTAGCTGTAATGAAGACTACTAGCTGAAAGCTCTTTGTCAAGAATCATCTACAGACTACAATATGAGCCACACTTCTGTTCTTCTAGGTAACCAATCTAGATGTCTGACGTTGCTCTGGTTATCTCTACAATCATACATAAGTTCTGTCAAAACAACCACCACTTACGTACTTGCTCTCATCTGAAAGAAATCGTTGGAAAATACTTGGAAACATGCGTTATTGGACTCTGTCTTATCGGATGTATCTCCAAACTTTCGATTTGAAAACATAGAGGAGTTAAGGATGATTGACTAAACATTAACGCATTAGACATCTACAATGATACTGTCGTATGAAAATTTGATGGGTGATTTTTTCTTATATGATAGTTTTGATACTTACTTACGCCTGTTACTCCTCGTGAAGGAGCATAGGCCGCTCACCAGCATTCTCCATCCAACCCTGTCCTGGGTAATCCTTTCTAGCTGTTTTTAGTTGTTCTTCATCCTTTTCACATCTGATTCTATTTCCCGACGTAATGTGTTCTTTGGCCTTCCTCTTTTTCGCTTCCCTTCAGGATTCCAAGTTAGGGCTTGCCTCATGATGGAGTTTGACGATTTGCGTAGTGTATGTCCTATCCATTTCCATCGTCTTTTCCTAATTTCCTCTTCACCTGGAAGTTGGTTTGTTCTGTCCCTCAGTAGGTTGTTGTTTATGGTATTCGGCCAATGGATGCTGAGTATCTTGCGTAGACAGCTATTTATAAATACTTGTACTTTCTTGATTGTGGTTGTTGTAGTTCTCCAAGTTTCAGCTCCATACAGTAGAACTGCCTTGACGTTCGTATTGAAGATTCTCACTTTGATATTGGTTGAAAGTTGCTTTGAGTTCCATATGTTCTTCAACTGTAGGAATGAGACCCTTGCTTTACCTTTTCTCGCCTTTACGTCTGCATCTGAACCTCCTTGTTAATCGGTTATGCTTCCCAGATATGTGAAGGATTCTACATCTTCCAGAGTTTCGCCATCAAGAGTGATTGGATTGGTGTAATGTGTGTTGTATTTGAGGACCTTGGTTTTCCCCTTGTGTATGTTGAGGCCTACTGATGCAGAGACTGCTGCTACACTGGTTGTCCTTATCTGCATTTATTCGTGTGTATGCGATAAGAGGGCTAGGTCATCTGCAAAGTCCAAATCGTTTAATTGGTTCTGAGCTGTCCATTGTATGCCGTGTTTTCCCTCAGATGTCGAGGTCTTCATAATCCAGTCGATAGTTTTGATACGATTTTACATTTCAGTAAGGTGAAAATCAATACAAAAACATGGATCATGCTACATTCATCCCACCATCAGGCTACATATATTGTGAATCTGTGTCATTACAACTCTAAATTGCAATGATTGATTAGAAAAGCTGACTAAGTCAAGTTGGATATGGGCTAGTAGTAGAATCAAAAACTCGTGTTTTGACCTATTTGGAACTCATAACATGGATTCACATTCATCTAAATGTTCGTATTTACACAGAGACTGAAATTGGGAGACTTTTACTTCAAATAGTTACGCTTTAACCATTGAGTTACTGAGTTAAATGTTGAAATTCTCTGATTAATTCCAGCTATTCATTACAACAGAGGGAAAATACAGACCGCTGTGAAATAAAATTTGTTTATTTAAAACCTTTTACATGATTGAGTTCATTTTGTAAAATGTTTCTAAAAAGGATGATCTTTTATGCATAATCATCAAAATAATAAAATAATGTTCTCTGTTTCATTCAGATCCATGAACATACCTTTTGATCACTGGATGCTGAATATAAATATCCTGATTCATAATCTAATACAATCGATTGAACCGAATCATCATGTCCTTGTAATGTAGATATCTAGATAATTTCGAAAATAAAATAGATAATATATATAGATATATAGGATTAGATTCAAGTGGATATAATGAACTTATTCATTTTGCTCAACTATTATTTTGATGAAGTTTTGTTCTCTGAGGTGAAGCTTTCATCGTTCTTCTGAATGATATCATCAGTACATATTTTAAGTAGAAGTGAAATGTTCGAATTTCTCCACATGTGATTCACAGTTTTTCCTGTAGACCTTAATGTTGATTGGTTCTTGTTGAACTTAAGCCTGTCATTGTTTACTTCTTTGTTTTCGTTGTATCTTCCATTGGTTTGATTTTTTGTTTGTGATGATGATGATGAAAGCTCCACGACTAAACCATCCAGTTTAGAGAACAAAACTATCAAAATCATCCACATGAGCTAAAAATCTTCTCCACCATCTCAACTATTATTCTCATTCTACTATAAGGTTGAGTGATATTGTATAACTGATTAAAGTATGCACCATTACGTTAAACATGCCCCACTCAATGACTATCCATTCTGATACATGCTAAATTGGTTGTGTGGATTTTCTATCCAATTATTACAATCAAAATAAAGTCACATCGAGTTCAATGGATGAGCTCAAGATTCACTGACTATTTCATGATCAGAATCTTGATAAGTAATAAAATAGAGTTCTGTGCAATTTCATGAACTTTTCCTTCATATAATACATTCAGAATTAACTCCACCTAGAGTCTCTCAGGGGGCTACTGCCGGTCCCAAGCCTGGATAAAGGAGGAGGGTTGGGCATGGGGTTAGCGACCCCATCTCGTAGAAAACTAACTCGCTAAAATGAAGCTAACCAGAAAAAATTATTCAAACTTTTAAAACTCTGTCCTGGGAGTCAGAAAGTCTTCATTTAGAAGAGTCATGACGCCTCATGATGAAAGCCGAGGTCCTTCGGAAGTCACGAGGCCGATGCCCCTTCTGACAACCAGAGCAACGATTTATTTAGGTACATGGAATATTCGTATTATGTGGGAGACCGGAAGAGTCTTTCAAATTGTTGCAGAAATGAAGAAATACAACGTAGAGGTGCTTTGGATCAGTGAAACACATTGGACGCAAGTTGAACAACAACGACTAGCTTCAGCTGATAAAAACCATTTATATACATTAACAATGTGTAACAATAATCCAATCAATATCTTGAAAAGTATTGAATTAAGAGTCTTTCAAATAACCTTCGACCGACAAATAAGATAGTATTTCGAGTCTTATCATCGTTTGAACTAAACACACTTAAGATACTTATTCTTACTTAAATCAAACAGATTTTATTTACTCAATAGTATAACTGACTTTGACTAATGAAAGAAATATGATCTATGTGAACAGTATAGTTTAATAGTACAGTCAGTACAAGTTTGAAGTCTGTTGAAATCAATTAACTTCTTTCAGAATTCTACAATTGTAAATTAAAATTCCGGCAGGAGCTGGTAGTGACCTACTTTTATCAAGAGAACGCGATTGGTTCAATGGAAACAACTATTATTATAACCAACTGTACCAGTGATTGTTTTACTGTACTTGTTTGTTTAACTGTACTAAAGACATTCTTCCGTTGATTGTGACCTTGCACGCACTTACATTTGCTCAGTTATACCACTTGTACTCTTTTGGCACGATCTCGGTATTCTCTTGATACCACGGGATTGCCAACAATTATATAACACTACAACTTCCAATCGCCTTCTGGTACACAATCTTCCTGTAGTGGTGATCATAGTCAACCGCGACTCCACCCCACGCTACAAGCTCTCATCATGAAAATTTGTTTTATCAAACTATAAATGACTATTATAGAGTTCAGTCAGTCAGTAACAACGTAGAACTTCGTACGTACGTACATCAGTTCGAGTTGCCATACCACATCACATTAGCATAGAGATGCAGTTATCGTTTCATATCCCGTAGTGGTAGAGGTAGTGAAAGTATAAGCAGTAATCGGTAAGATTAGGGTTTGGAGATGTTATTCAACGAGTATAATCCAGTGAAATAAATTTGGAAAGAGAAAAAAGAGACAAGGAGGAATAAGGAGATCAAAATTTGGGAGAACACAAAGAGTGTATGCACCTGCGCCATTGTAAACGATTTCGAGCCATGTGATTCAGGGTCTCTAACCATCGGTTGCTATCATCTCGCGGTCCCCAACCAGGTAGTCTACACCTACCAACATGACTCAGTCCACTTGTCAGTGACTTCATGGACTTTTGCCATGTTTTGGTCTGGCCGCCTCTAACTTTCTTCCAACCTACTCCTAATATTATAGAGTTACATCAAAATGTACTGAAAAATAACATACTTGACCAGTTGATATTTCTATACAATAAATTTTAGAATCATCACAACCAGCAACAATATATTCACTATTCAAATCAATAACTAATTGATTAATTCCAAGTTGATTTCGTTGTTCTAATTGTTTATGTTGTATAGATGTAGGATTTGGATGATGATTAGAATGTTTTTGATGAGGATGAGGATGATTGAAACGATCAAATTTTCGAGTTTTATTCAAATCAAAACAAGTAGGCAAACATTTCACCTCTACATTATTATTATTATTATTATTGTGCATTTTCATTTTTAAGGTAGGTAAATTTGTTTCAAATGAGAAATTATTGATTTTACGAAGATCCCATAATCGAATAAAACCTCCACTGTCACATGATATTACATTGGTACCTTGTTGATTAAATATAGCACAATTGATTGAATGTGTATGACCAAGAAATGTATGCTCACATAAACCCTATTAGGTTATATGGAAGAAAGAAAAAACATAATGAGATCATATCAGTATTGATTATTCTGTGAATAGTATCTATCTAATCATAATGAATATCTCCTCTTTTCAAATATTTACATAATTGAAAAAAACGAAGGGGTATCTAGTTTCTAAGTTGTTATCTGGAAAACCTTGATTGATATATTACTTAATTATTTGATTACGCCTGTTACTTCTATTGGAGCATAGATCACCGATCAGCATTCTTCAACCCATTCTGTTCTGGGTATTCCTTTCTAGTTCTATCCAAATTTTTGTTGATTCTTTTCATATCTGTCTCCGTTTCTCCTCCTAGAGCCCCTCTTGGGATACTGCTGGTCCCAAGCGCGGATAAAGGAGGAGGCTTCGGTATGAGGTTAGCGACCCTATCCCGTGGAAAACTAACTCGCTAAAAAAACGCTAACCGGAAAAAAATAAATTCAAACCATTTAAAGTCTGCCCTGGAAATTAGAAGGTTTTCATTTAGAAGAGTTATATATATTCCTTGTATATTGTTATTTTTGTGATATTGTTGTATCTAAGCTGAATATTTTAATATCGAATCTTTGATTTTCTTTCCTCAGTAACAACAAACGCTGAAAAGTAATTAATTCAAAGAATTTCACCACAACCTATTTCGTTGAAGGCACTCAACGAGTTCCTGAAGTATAGCGCAAAGTTTACAGAAACGGAAACATAATTGGCTAATAATTTGTTTTGTAGATGTAAATTTAAATTAATTGCTGTCAATAGCTTTGATTGATTGTTCTCTTCCCCAACCTGACCTTTGAACCTATGGTTTTATATTAGTACAGTTGTCCACTGGTTAATTCAATTTACTTTAATATCAGGGAGATAACGTGCAATTCGAAGTTTTTATCTAAACAGACAATGGTAGTCTTAAAACCTATGTTATGATATTTAAGGACTGTAGCAACCAGTGAGGGAGGCTAAATCTGACTCACACGTCCGCATCGTGCCTCCTGCATAATGAGACGAATAACTCATGAACTAACGTGAGCGGTAACCCGGGTGGTGGAAATCGGGCTAATCACCCACTCTTACCTATACCCATCAATCAATTACGAAACCCACAGAGAAACATAGCACAAATAAATTTGGAATGGAAAACGACAAAAATTTTTCGAAAGTGGTGCATGTATCATATGGATTTGCTCGTCATTGGGCAAACTCCAAAGGATTTCAGAAACAACTATTCTAGCCCTGGTAGTTGTGCCGTGCTTCGATGTGGCCTGTTTCTCTCCAGAAGGGCCTAATAGGCTTCACCAACTTGTTTGGCAGGAAGGGAAGGGGCAAGCAGTGAAATCCAAGACAAAATTTTCATCCCATTTGGAATTCATTAATTATGTGCACTCCCATCATTCTGTTAGTACTTACTATAAAAGTCAACTGATATGTAATAACATTTAGGTAATAAATAAAAAATGAGACCATATCCCTGTCTCACATACGATTGTTAGCTGTAATCCAGACATCTAATAAAGACATTGTGTGACCCTCGATCTTGATTGTTTATTGTTGTTCAGAAGAACGATGAAACCTTCATTACTAAACCATACAGCTCAGAGACCAAAATCATCCACCTGAGCAACAAATCTTCCCTACCATCTCAATATGCACTTATATTTAATTGACAAATTCTTTAGTAAAAGCCAATGAAACAGTGTTACTTACCGAACGACCATCCCATAAACACACTGTTCTATCTGATGAACCAGTAACTAAAATATTTCCATAAGGTAAAAATTGAATAGAATTCACTGATTTACTATGCCCTCTAAGTATTGTACAACATGATGTTGCAGAACGTGTGCTTAATAAATCTTTATTCATTTTAAATGACATCATAGCGTGTTCAACATTCCATAGACGTATTGTATTATCCATACCACAACTAGCTAAATAAGTACCAGTCCAATGCCAATTTACAGACCAAACAGCTCCAGTATGCTGACGTAAAATACCAATACGTTTACAATGATTCTGTTCCGATATTTTGTCATCGATAAGGTCAATTTTCCATATCTGAAATAGAATTTAACATTTATGAATATATATATATATATATGCTAGTGGGCGGCCTATGTTCCTCCACGAGGTGTAACAGCCGTAATATATATATCTGTTGCTTCAAAGTATGTTGTTTCCCAAGACTAATGTTCAAGCCCATTCTGTCGATAGAATCCAGAATACAAGTTACATACTATTTGGAACTTATCAGTTTTATATTTCTGTTTATTAATGTTGATTTCGAAACTGGAAATCGTAATCAGTACCCTAATCCTCAATTAGAATCTTCACTAACAATGTTCTGTAAATGCTAGTAATGCTGTTAAAATGCCTGAAACCAAAGCATAGGAAATGATAACCGAACTTGTAAATTTGACTTAAACTATCTTTAAAGTTGATGAACTATGAACAACTTAATAATGTAAGTAATTGTTATGCAGTTATAAACTGTTTACTTATTACTTTACTTACTACTAATACAGCGAGATTATAATTTATGGACGAAGCAATAAGATTTACGGTAATAGATCTTGGATTTCAACGAGAAATTCTTTATCCATTTGGCTAAATAACGTTTTGTCATTTTAAATAATGTCAGTTCGTGAGGAAACATCAAATGGAAATCATAATTCTAATTCCTCACACTGGTTTAGAACTTTCATTCAGCCGTAGTCAGTAGGTGGATACTCTCAAGGTCCCTCTAACATCGCTTAAATGTTGTCCATAAATTATAGTCTCACCATTAATACTTCTTCAGTACTTACAGACTACGTGTAATATATTGTCAGTCTCAGCCCTTTATTGTGTACATACATACCTATAAATAGTGTGGAGTTAGGTTGCCTATTAGTTCTTCTCCTTTTAACCTCTGATCACACTATTATTCTCTGACACAGAACATTGTAAATATTCCATTTGATGACAATAAGAACTGTAAACAGTAGGGTTTCAAATCATTCACTGGATCCCTTTCAAATAGATTTCAATAACGATGTTAAAACACTACTTTGATTTGACTATTTTAAACCTAGTTAATCCGTATATCTCACACTGTACTAATATGTCAACTAGGATTGTGTTCCAGGGCTAATGCTATTAAAAACAAATAATATCCATAATCAACTTGGAGTTCATAGGGATTTTCATAAGGGAGTTTCCACATATTGAATTTAAGGTTCAACAATGAAACTCTTCTTTTGCTTTGAGAAACTAAAGAAGTTATGTTACCGGATTCTGATGAGTATTAAGCTACAATGACAGTTCATGATTATATCATTTAACGGGTATTATAAATATTGAAATGATAGTAAAAACGTGTCGCTTAAATAAATAAGGGTTTAGTATGGAAGAGTTTTTCTGTAACATTTTTATTGACCCTATTAACAACTTGATTAATACAACAGAAGTCTTAAAGTAGATGATAAATTGTTTTTAGAAAACTTTCTTAATCATCAGTATATTATTTATTTGAACACATTGATTGAAGTTAGACATTAACACCGTTGGATGCAGGCTAGCTCTGTAGCCTAAAGTCTGGGCGCGTAGATCGATAGGTCCTGGAGCCGAGCCCCGTGTGCGACGACGTGAACGCGGCACTGCTGAGAAGTTCCATACTGGGACGAATCAGTGATCCAGTGCATCCAGGTTCTCCATGGTGGTATAGCTTCAATTAATTCATGAATTCAATTATTAAACTACTGAAATCTCCACAAAATCCCCTTCTGATAATAATCGTTTTTTGTCAATATTTACTTACTTACGCCTGTTACTCCTTGTGGAGGAGAATAGACCGTCCACCAGCACTCTCCATCCAACCCTGTCCTGGGCAATTATTTCCAGCTCTTTTCAGTTATTATTCATCCTTTTCATATCTGCTTCTATTTCCCGACGTAATGTGTTCTTTGACCTTCCTCTTTTCGGCTTCCCTTCAGGATTCCAAGTTACTACTTATCTCGTGAAAAAAACTGTTTTTAATTTTTTTCTAACCTCTTTATCTCATACATAATCTTAGTGATATACAAATACTAATCCTGTTGTGTATTACGTTTACATAATCCTCTGTTGATCATCGTAACTAGAGCATCACCTCCCCCGACACGTTACGTTGTACTGTTATGTTCAGTTCTTCACATCATAACAATTTCTTTTGGTTATGTTTCTAATATTCATACAAACTACACTAATTATGTAAAACATTTATTGATAAGTATATCAATAATTGTACATTCAAACCGCTGGCAGCTAATGAGAAGTAGTGGATTTATAGTGAATTGATTTGATCCTGAAAGAGTGATTTTTCTTGTTGCTCAGTTTAAATTTATCAAGGGATCTGGTTACATAAGAATAATTTCCGTTAAATCTTTCGAAGCGTCCGATCACATTATTAAGATAAAGGCTCAGAATCGAAGTTCACAAAGCAACAAAGCGGTCCTCAACTTGTGAATTATCTGTGTTGCTTGGCATGTCTATAATTCTGAAATAAATAGGGGCTTCGACTGTGCAAATGACAGTTGTTAGTGGTGTCTAATGTTGATAACAGTGTGTCAACAAGCAAAAACAGAACCAAGAGCAAACACTATAGAAATCGTTGCGTTTAAACAAGGATTAAACCGCCATACGGCATTGTGAAAAACTGCTACAAGGATCGAGAGAAATTAATTATAATGATAAATACAATAAATGTTATCGGTACATCTCAGTATCTCAGAATATTACACGACAAACTTACTTCACAATATACGCGTTGGCATTTCAAGGAATACAACTATTTACTGAATATTAATAAGTAGTATAAAACAATACACAAAAGAGTTGAAGGGAAATGAATAAGGACAGAGAACGTAAACAAACTTAACTGTGTTGATTTGTCAATTATCCTATAGACTAGTGTAGTAGTATATTTTATCCACTTCTAGCTTTCTACCATCCTGTTTATTAACTAGCCAAGATTATACATTGAGATGAACTATTGTTTAGAATATGTAACATATATCCCTGACAATTCAGTCGGTGAAAATTCATGGTTTTACTAAATGACTTGACAAAACCAAACAACAATCAAACGATGTTTCATCATAATTAAAAACCCATACGAAACATACAATCACTCGTCTATAGAAACATCCAGTCACATAACTAAACTGAAAATGATTCAAAGTATCTATAAATTTTAGCCTGTGTTATTTGTTACTACTGTACCATGCATCATTTCACATTGACTACAATCTTGGCAACATTATAAGCAGAGATTATGATGATCCGTATATGATGCCCATATCCCAATAAGAGACTGATCAATTGCTAACCTAAACATCAGTGAGAAGATCCAAACAACCAATACAAAAAGTACATAATCCTATTGATTTTGTGGAAAAGCATTTCTATAAACATGTAACAGACTACTAACTAATTATTCAACATTGAAACTTAGTCATCTTCGATATCGTGCTCTTAAACTTATCAACTCACTCTATTCAGCATGAAGGTCAATACATATTACTACCTGATAATAAGTTCATTATCATATAAAGGCTATTGAACAGATATAAATGGTGACTGAAAGTGGAATCTCCGACGCTCGTTTCATCAGATCTGGGACTCATCAACCTATGACTTAAGGTGTTATCGTAGTACTCTATACAGAATACTCATATACCAATAGAGATTGATCACTTACAGTCCATCATGGAACAATTCAAACAACAGATACAAATGAATTAAAGTTATTGAGCATTTACTTTGAGAAAAAATGAACTCACTTGAATAGAACCTTGAGCATTTCCTGTTGCTAATATTTCTTCCTTGGAATGAAAATCAATTGATGATATCCAATCATTTGTTATTAGTTTATATTCCATTAATAATTCTAATTTTGGAATTTTCCACAATTTCCATAATTTATCATCACCAACTGAACATAACCATGATTTATTTGAATGAATAGCTAATCTAAAGTTTAATTTTAGTACATAGATACAAAGAGTGTTTACTATTTAAAATGAATTAAGGTAAATTTATTTTATTTGAACATAAAAATATTGGTACAAAGGGGTACCGAATGCATATGCGCCAAATAAATCAATTGATTTGTGTGTGGGCTGGGATACTGCTCGGGTGCCCAAGTCGAAGCAGATTCTTTTCGTAGGGGGCTACACCCCGACCGTTCGACCTAAAAAACCGATCCACAAGGCAGTGAAGCAACGTAAGAAAATACAGTCCCATGTTAGCCGGTGACCAGACATTGTTTTATACGCCATTTGTTCCTTCAGAATTCTGGAGCCCACGTACATCATTGGTTTGGAATCAGGGTTTTTCAACTTCCCTAGTTGGATCTTCTATATCTATCAACCAGGTTAAAGCGCTGGACATTCGTTTTTTGTCCTCTCAATATCGTAAACGATAGTAATGCCGTGGGAAGGCAGTGAGTAGGACTTCCGTGGCAGTGGCTGTATACTCGTGCCCATTTAAGAGCATTTGGAGATGAAAAGTAGGCTCCTCCTCACCCTTGGCCATACGAAGGCATTTGAACAAAGATAGATAAAGGAAAACTTTATCTGTGATCTTCTGTACACTATGTTGAATTGTGTCCCTCATTATTTCCAAACCCAATTACTTTACGTTTTGAACAGATGATAAGAATCTAATGGAATAAATATATGTTATTATACCCAAATCACTATTATTGTTTCTTCTTTTCTTTTGAAGTTTATTCACAGTAATACGTATATGAAGAGATATATATTTGATCGTATATCGAGACACTTTCCAGTAGTACTTATCCATAATTGTATATGGAATGGAATGTGAAACTTTCAAATTTAATTACTAGTACTAAACATTTCGATCATTGAGCAAGTGATCAATGGTTCTTTGATAATTACATGAATAAACGTTTTTCGTTACAGCATCAGTAAATAATATTGATTTCAATTAGATCATCATCACGTTTTCGTCCAAAATAAGTGAGGGTATGAGGCAAACCGAAATGAGTTTTGACACCAAGAGACGTGTCAACGAAAGAGTGGACATTTTCTTCAAGTTATTTGGACGTCAAAGGATGGAATTAATACGAAGTTCCAGTTTTTGACACGTAGTCGATATATAGTGAACGCAAACACAAGTGGGATAACCTAATGTATTTGAATTGAAAATACAGAATGTCAATTAACTGTCCCATACTTGACTGTTCTATTTGCAAAACGACAATAATTCCTCTCAGACTTGATTGTTCCTTCATTTTCACATGAATCATTCTCTGTTGTTATTCTCTTTCCTTCGATCTTCTTAACCATCTGCCACCAGGTATTTCACTTTGATTGATGACACATACTACTTATATCTGTCGATATCAGTAGTACACACCACATATATTGATCATGTGCTACATAAAGTGATCTTCAGATAGAGTGACCTACTAAATACTTAGAATGTTTCACAATCAAGACTAATCTCATCACTTATATAAATGGAAAGTGATAAGGATTCGAGTCAACAGATCTAGTCTTTCGATTCAAAAGAAGCTTGTAAGATCTTTATCTTTTACTTAACCACGATTGTATAAATCCTTTTAATTCATTTTCTATTTCTGTTCACTCCTTTCACATATTTTCTTTACTACTTGCAAACATGTAAAATAAGTTAATGTTGATTATTGAGATTCAACTTAACAGTTACACGGGACTCAGTCTTTTACAACATAGTTCCATAAACCAACTAATCATCAATTGCTTTTAAATTATCCAGATTTGTGAACTCTATACTGATTCCACATGTGTGGAATTTCAGTAATACACATTTAATCCAGAACATACTTTGGTTTATTGATCAATAAAAAGATCTGGATGATGAGACTAGAATTTATGGACGAACCAATCAGGTATAAGATAACGAATCATATATTTTGGAGCGAAATTCATTCATCCATTTGGATAAATAGAGTTTTGGTATTATAGCTGATATCAATTCATGATGAAAACTCTAAATTTAATTCACTAACCCTAACCAATAACTGTAAATCATAATTCTATTTCTTCATACTGGGTTGATAATCCTCATTTGATCCTGGTTATTAAGTGGAGCCCCTTCGGGGGATAATGCTGGTCCCAAGCCCGGGTAAAGAGGCAGGGTTGAGCATGGGATTAGCGACCCCATCCCGTAGAAAACTAACTCACTAAATAAACGTCAACCAAAAAAAAGTTATTCAAAACTTTTAAACTCTATCCTGGGAGTCGGAAGGTATTCATTTAGAAGAGTTATGACGCCTCATGATGAAAGCCGAGTTTCTTCGGAAGCCACAAGGCCGATGCCCTTTCTGACAACCAGAGCAACGATTTATTTAGGTACATGGAATACTGGTATAATGTGGAAGAGGTACTTGGGATCAGTGAAACACGTTGGACGCAAGTTGGATAACAGCGACTAGCGTCATTAAGTGGATACTCCCAAGGTCAGTCTAACGTCCACAAAGGTTATCCATAAATTATAGTTTCACCAACTGTGTGTTTATCAATATTCAATAAAGTAAATTAAATATTATTTTCAATATAAAGTTTACTTGCTAATAGCTGCATTATGAGCATGTATACTCATATCTAATTTTCTACTATCTAATCGTGTAAATTTATATGAATGATTTGTAAGTTTAGCCAATAATGGATTCACTTTATAATCAATAGATAAATCACAAAATCCAATCTAAGGAAATAAAACAAAAAAAAAGAGAATTGTGCGTTTAGTGATCACAGAATACAATAATAATGGTTCATTGTATCATTACTTCGTCCCTAGTAAGGGACTCCTCATCAGTGCACACCTAAGGACACGTTCGCGAGATTCAAACTCAGGACCTATCGGTCTCGTGTGTGAACGCTTCACCTCTTGATCAATGAGCTGGCATCCAATGGTGTTAATGTCTAACTTTAACCAATCCACAAAATTGTGCCACTGTCTACCATTGTCTTCAGTAAGTTAATATCTCACAACAGACATTGTTGAACTCTTCTGGTCACGGCTTCTCACTAGTCAGTTCCAGCAATTCTCAATCACTTTATTTGTAACTAACTTATTCGAAACTTGATATTTGCAGCTAACTTGTATGCACCATCAGCTGGTAGATATGAATATAAATAAATAGTCTATGGCAAATCAGAACATTGAGTCTAGAGCATGTTTTCTACGAATAAACACATGTTTAAATAATTCCTCTTATCCCTCTGTCCAAAATTCACATAATTATTACTTTTCATGTATTATTCACATAACTCGAGGAAATCATCTTGAAGCCAGTCACTAGTGAGCACATGATGATCATGGATCATGGACGCGCCCTGCTGAGGAATTATAAACTAGTACGAAACGGTCGTCCAGTGTTTCCAGGTTTTCCATAGCGATCTAGCTTAAATTGATTCATGAATTCAACTATTAAAATGTTAATTACCCAAAAAGATTAAAGTTATGAGGTTTCAAGGAGAAAAAGAGTAGAAGAGACGATAAACAGTATGCAGACAAATCAGTGAACACAATGAATGATGCACATTAAGTTAATCTAACTTGTAGATATGTTATAAAGGGACTCCCTGAACAGTGCCCACTTACGGTTCCATTCGTGGGATCCGAACCCAGGACCTATCAGGTCGATGCATTGAAATGAAATTTAATTTATTTCAAATATCATTTTAAAAAAGAACTCAGAGTTTTGGAATGTTTAACATGATGAAAAGCGAAAAAATGTTCTTGCAAAAGGATATCCTTTATAAACAAGTTGTTATATCCTAGTGAAGATTACATTACAAGTAACGTCTGAGACTTATTATTATTTAAATATTCTCATGGTATAAATATTCAGTAACTAGAATATGAATATCTATATTTCTCTTGTTATAAGCTTTATTTTGGCCTATAATTTATTATTGTACGATTTACGGTTCATAAGTTATGTTCAGTTCATTAACTACTGCATCCCACGTTCACAGCCACTTTTTGGCTTTATTGTGTATGGATATTGTTTCCTATTTTATGGTGCTTTGCGGTCTGTTTGTTTGATATATAAACCCAGTATGTTTGAAATAAATGATTCGATTCGCATAGTGGAAACTAGTATTTGGTGTTCTGGACTCAAGTGAACGGGCTGCGCGGACATAGGACCAAAAAGGACGCTAGACTGCACATACCTGTCGAATGACATTGGTTTGGCACAGTGCAAAGATTGTATAAGTCGTTTTTTGTTTGGTGGATAAATCACGTGATAAAAAGCCGGACATAAAGTTACAACACAAGTATTTAAAGGGATTTCATCAAGAGTGTTGTGAAACAGAAAAACATTCTATCTAAATTATCTTTTCAAATCGTAAGTCCTGTTGGTAGAAATACTCAAAAAAACCCAATGATGAATGAATTTCAGGGTAGAATTTTTATATTACAGAAATCCTAGTAATTTTGTTCAGGTTGTTATTAACTTGATCGTACTGAAAATGATAACTCCTCCTGTAGCTCTTCTAGAATTACTGCCGCTCCCAAGCCCGGGTAAAGGAGGAGGGTTAGGCATGAGGTTAACGACCACATCCCTTAGAAAACTAACTCGCTAAAAAAACGCCAACTTATCATTAGTTATTTATTAGAATTCTATAGATCAAATAACAGTGTAACCATTAATTTGAATAACTATATCCAATACTCAATGTTCGCTCTTCAAATATATCTCTGAGTACACGCCTATCTAGTACTACATAGAAAAAGAAAACAAAAGCATAGTTTCATTCAGTTTTATAACATCTAATCCATGCAACATGTTGGCTGTAGTTTTATTGTGGACCGCGGGGTGGCTACTCTAATTTCTACCGACTGACCAACTTCAGATATCCCAATACGACCTCAATACTGTTCCCCAATCTCCACTATATCAGAACACGAACCGTAGATGAAAATTGTTTATGGGGTCAGGAGAAAAATAAGAATAGGGATAGGTAAAGGAATGATACTTTGCAGACAAATGCATATTTATACAGTTAGGACTACCGTGAATATTGACCAATAGGAAAATGACACCATTTCACGTTCAAGGATAGCACTAGACTTAACAGGATAATTTTGGGGGTATTTTTCTGAATATGCTAACAAGTTTACAGAACTCGTGTAAACGAATGAAAGGTGTACATTCAAAACTCCTAGAAAATTCAGAGGATGATATCTTCAAAAACTAATATGTAAAAGAAGTTTATTCACTTCATTCACTACAATTCACTACATTTCGATAAACAAAGAAACATATATTATACATAACAAGTCACAACACCACTGAATATGTAACTGTGGTTAGCTTACAAGTAAACAAAGAAACTAATGAGTTGATCAAACTAATAAATCACATTGATTAACGAGACTTTTGACTGTCAAACTGAGTTTTACTAGTATAGGGCTTATGGAGATTAATTAGTTTTTGATTGAGATCATGAACCAATTGATGTTAGACCACCTTTGGAAACCTGGAAGCACTGGACGGCCGTTTAGTCCTATTGTGGGACTCCTCAGCAGTACGCATCCACGATCTTGCTCGCTGGATTCGGACCCAGGGCCTTCGGTCTCAATCAAAAACTTAATAATCTCCACAACCCCTATACTAGTAATCAACATGTGCTCACTAGTGAATAGCTTCGTGAGGGAATTCTCGGAGTTCTAGTGAGAAGCCGTGACCAGTGGAGGTAATCCATACTGGGTAGAGACAGGTATCTACCTCAGTACAATGGAAGATGGTCTTGCAATTTCGTGGATTGGTTGATATTAGACACTATCACTGCTGGATGCCGGCTCAGTGGTCCAGTAGGTTAAGCATTCGCGCGCGAGACCTAAGACCATGGGTTCGAGTCCCGCGAGCGGGGTTGTGGATGCGCACTGCTGAGGAGTCCCACAATAGGACGGAACGGCCGTCCAGTGCTTCCAGGTTTCCAAAGGTGGTCTAAAATCAATCGGTTCATGATCTCAATCAAAAACTGAGTTTTATTGGAAGGTACAGACGCCCAGATTTAATCTACACAATAAAATTAAAATTGCTTGAAAACCATAAATGACATAAGTTCATATCGTCTTCAGCGGTATATATGCGTTTATGCTTCTTTCTTTTTTTTCAAATCTTTAGTTTTATATTGAGAAAGCAATCAGAGGATGAATTTGATTATGTATTTGTGTTATACATTCTGAATCATCTGATCATACACATACTCGTCAAGGCACCGTGATACTCTTCAAGTCATTATATAGATGAAGATGCTGTGAAAACATTTTATGTTTTTCATATTATATTGTTTCTTCTCTCATTAATTTACAATTACCAATTTACGTTTATTCGATCTTTTACTTAAGTGGGCTTCATTAGTTTTTTATTCATAAATATCTTGACAAATATATATCTGACCAGATTGTTCAAAATGTATCGGTATAAGTAAGTCATCTTCTTCCAAGTCAACTGGGTAGAGGCAGACTACTTGATTGGGTTCCACATGACTATCGTAACCAATGGTTGGATACTCTGGGTGACATGACTCAGAATCGACCGCAATAGCGTAGGTGTTTACAATCTTTGTCTTCACTTAAACAGTGAGATTAAAATTGCTTTATTGATAAGCCTTGCAAACTGAACGCTATATTCGTTTCCTAAGCTATTCTATAACCCCCAAGTTAGAACTATACAGCGACCTGAACACGAGAGAGAAGGTGAAAAGTATGCAAGAAGTACTTTACTCCAAAGGTTCATTTTAATACAGAAAATATAATGTTTTAAATGTCCTTTGATTTCTTCGAAGATTCTGGAATGCTACTAAACATAGTAGCAGTATAGCAATCAGCCAATCAAAACCTCTACATGTGACGTTTCACTTCCTTGATGTTTCTGGCTAAAACTTAAAGTGAGCACTGAATAAATGAAATGCTTCTTAGTGTTTCCTGATCCTTGCTTTTCTTTTGCGACAAATTTTCTGGATCACCCCAACATTTATATTATTCTTTCTACGCACTAATTCTTTCTACTCGTACTACATCCTTAAACACAATCTTTCTTTCATACATTACTACCTTTGAAGTGACTACTTTTATGAATTTGGTGTTCATTTTGTTGTTCCAATGCGGTATGGCAACTTGGACTGATGCATATATGTACCTGGTCCTACTTTGTAGCTGACTAGGTCAACGTTGTCTTCTGAATGTTTTATCAAAGCCTACAACTGGGATCGATTGATTCAAGTTTAATTTTACTATTAACTTATGCCTTCTATTCATAGATTTTACTTATTTTTTCCAAACTATATGGCTTGAGTTTAATATTTTACTTTATTTTTTTTTATATCTCGAAATGATTAAAGTGAAACAATCCCTGAAAACCCAAAAGGCATGGAATATATCAAGTTAGAGTTAATTTACACATGTATTAGGTTTCATATTGGTAATAGATAATAAACTGATATAGTGCACCACGTCAATTCTTCCCCACTTTAGAGTTTGGTTTGATCATTGTTTCAATCTGTACTAGAGTACATTCATTTATTCATCTCCGTTGCACCATTCAATTCAATAAACTAATGTTCATAGATATTTTGACTTATCTCTGGGTTATGCAACACATAGTTATCAAAACGTCCAAATAACTGAATTAGAACTTAAATTGAGTCCGTACGTATAAAATTGTTAAAGAAAATCAATAGAGGATCGAAAAGTAGAGTAATAGTTCACTTCTTAAAAACATATAATCTATTTGAATATTTTCTCATTAATCAGTTTCTATAAACGGGCATTATGTATTGCAAGACAATTTATATATGTATGTTTATTTAATCTTATGATCAAACGAAAGTTTTTCTTAAAAACCAAGTATAAATATCTTACCCTTTTCAAATTATGATCCAGTTTAGTTTGGATATTAAACTTTTCTGATCTCATATAATTCTTTTTACACTTTTGATCAGTTTCTTTTTTATTCTGTCTACTTGTTGTATTTTCCAACCTTTTCTCTGTTATTTTATGATCCAGATCAACATTTTCAATATCGTTTGCATCATTAGACGTTATACCTAATTTTTGTAATGAAGTTAAAGCATGTCGAAGTCCTTCAACTTGGTTCATAGCTTTGTCTCGTTCAATTCTATGTAACGTTTTTTCTTTCATTGCTATTTCATATTTTTGTCTTAATAATCTTAAAATTGGCTCATATTCGGCATAATGTTCTTTTACTCTAATTAATAATTTTTAAAACACTAAAGTTAAAACAACAATTACAAACCAAGATTTTTATGAATTGATTGTTACATTTAATTTTTTTTTAGTTTAAAAGTGATTTCCATAATAAGCTAGTATTTGGGAAGGAACTTAAAAAGGATAGGTTGTTTCTTGTGAACTTAGTTCTCTTGTGGAGTAGGTAGGGTAACATTCATCCAACTAAAGAGAGTGTATACCGCTTTTTAGTTGTAAAGCACGGTCTACAGAAGTAGAAGAAACTCATAGGTTGGAGATGCTTGATCACAGCTGTTCTCAAATCATTGCTTGTGTTTAGTGGAATGATCAAGTGATATCAGATGCAATGTACTAGGTAAAGGCAACAAATGGTCAGGTTGTGAATGTTTATTTACTGAGGTGGTTAAGAAATGTGTTAAATATGTCCAGCCATCGCCTACCTATACAGAAGATGTTGGTGGTTAGGACGTAGGTTGAGAGTAAACCGAAGATGGAAAACTAAGTCATAGTATCAGTCTATGAATTCATTAACTATTGGAGACAGATATGCTTGTAAATTCAGACTACTTAACTGGGACCCACGTGGTCACTGCGGTTATGAGTTGAAAATTTAGGGTAACATGACTCAGAATCATTCCCAGTGGTTCAAACGTATTCGCCTTTTATCATCGTTGATCCTAAGTCCCAGCATTTTTTCCAGTAATACCTTTTCACTCTGTCTTTACGAACTATATTTACAGTCCTTAGTTTTAATAATTATCATAGCTACTATATTATTTCGATCGCTTTCGGTACTCATTTCATTGTGCCAATTAGGCATGGCAACTTGAACCAACGCATATCTGTGTCAAGCGCTACCTTAATGGAAACAGAGCAAGAGAATAAGCAAACATCTAGGGCGATTAGATAGCAAAAATCTGTTCTGATTCTAGTTTGAGGTGCTGTTGATGAATTCTTGTGTATAAAGTTCAGCACTACAGCAATGTATATCATTTGCCATACACATGGTTTTAAAATATGCTCAAAGTCAAACTTATATTATAAGTAGTATTTATACTATTTGGATAAAAAAATTCAAGTTATTCAGATGTAGTTAAGATTTATGGCTTACCTGTGGGATAAGTTGTGAAATAATGCAGGCTAGGAAATGGAAATAAACGCTCAGGTTTCGAATTAGAAATAGAGATGCCGTAGAGAATTTACTGTCATTACAATCCAGACCTAATTGGAACTGCCCCCCAAAATCCCTTGTTTTCTTACATTTTACTGTAGCAGTGAACTGTATAGCCATATGGTTTATACCTGAGACAGTAGCACATGTTTCAGGGACATGTGAACTGGTGAGATGTAAGTTGAAATGCCGAAGGCAAGATATTGAATTAGTTGTAGTTTATCGCAGTCCAGAATGTGTAGCAGATGATTTTCTCCTCAGTAAACTTAAATCCTGGTGTAACAACGGTAAAAGCCTTGTAGTAGGCGACTTTAATGCACCATATATAAACTGGGTTAACTTAGAAGTAGAGTCATCTATATCGTCGTTCGACTCCAAACTGTTAGAAACCTCGATTGGACTAGCATTATTCCAACACATTAGAGATCCCACAAGATACGACTTAAGAAACTCTTCCTCTCTTTTAGATTTAGTCTTCACACACGGTGAGGACGTTGGTCAAACGGCTTTTCTCCCACCACTTGGGAGAAGTGACATGCAGTCATCTTATTCAAATTCATGGCTGAAATTGCTTCTCAAACAATTGTGCCGGCCCGTCCTAACATATGGAAGGCAGATATGCAGGCAATTAACTCCGCAGCATCGGCTGAGAACTGGGAAATTGACTCAAAGGCATCAGTACAAGAGGCATGGACTCTTTTCAGGCAGTTATACAATCGGTTAACTCAACCATATATACCCTGGACTGTCCCAAAGAAAAAGAAGCACGGACATCCCTGGTTAGGGCGGGATATTCGACGCTTACTAAGACAAAAGAAGAAATGCTGGGATGTTGCCATCCGCCTTGGCACAGCAGGTACGATGGAACACTACAGATCGATAAGAAACGAGTGTATAACTAAAATTCGGGAAGCGCAAAGAAAATATGAAATGCAGCTGGGAGAATCTGCACTCAAGCAGCCCAAGAGGATATTCTCGTACATAAACTACAGAACAAGGATTCATCACTGGATTCCCATCCTAATTAAAGTAGGAAGTGAATCTGAAATGATAGAGGAAGATCAGGAAAAAGCTGAGGTTATGGCTGACTACTTTGGGGCAGTTTTCACTCAGGAACCTCCTCTAGAGAAAGAACCAGACCCAATTACAGAGTCAACAAACCAGCTGCTCACCGTGGACTTCGACCAAAACGATGTGCTTAAGGCTCTTAGCACCCTAAACATGGAGAAGTCAACAGGACCAGATGAACTACACCCTAAAATCTTGAGACATATTGCCCAATATATCGCAGCCCCACTGACTGTGATATTCAAAATGTCACTTGACCAAGGTGTGTTACCTATGGACTGGAAGGACGCAATCGTCACTCCCATACATAAAACTGGTCTACGACAAGTTCCATCAAATTACAAACCCGTAAGCCTCACCAGTGTTGTAATTAAAATACTGGAAAGGATAATCAAACGGACCATAACAGCATTTATGGAAACCAATAACTTGCTGAACATGGCACAACATGGTTTTAGAAAGGGTCTATCCTGTACAACGAACCTCCTTATAGCTAGGGAGCTCTGGATTAATGCGCTAGACAACGGAAACTAAGTGGATGTTGTCTACATAGACTTCAGTAAGGCTTTTGACAAGGTGCCAACTAATAGACTGCTATTGAAGTTGGCAAACCTTGGTATTGCCGGACCTCTTTTAAAATGGATTAAGGATTTCCTAGTAGGTCGTAGGCAAAAAGTAAGAATAAATTCCAAGTGCTCCATCTGGAGACCGGTACTTAGTGGAGTACCCCAAGGTTCCGTCTTAGGTCCTTTACTTTTTATAATGTACGTTAATGATCTTACAAGTATAGTACAGTCTCCAATGTTATTATACGCTGACGATGTAAAAATTTGGCGAGTAATGACTGGAGAGAAAGACGCATTTACTCTTCAGGCGGACTTAAATAATATGATAAACTGGTCTAAAGAGTGGCTAATGCCTATCAACTCGGAAAAGTGTGTCTACATGCACTTGGGGGATTCAAAGGTAAATAAGTACAACATAGGGGATGTGTCATTACCCGTAGTCCGGTCTCATAAGGACCTAGGGGTGACAGTGAGCAATGATCTTAAGACGACGGCTCATTGCTGGGAGGTCGCAGTTAAGGGGTTTCGAACCCTCTGGGCTTTAAAAAGGACATTCACTAAGCTTGATACTACCATGTTCACCACATTATACACATCCTTAGTAAGAACTAAGTTAGAGAACTGTGTTCAGGCTGCAAACCCATGTTTAAAAGGTGACTCAGACATACTAGAAAAGGTACAGAGGGCAGCTACGCGTGCAATTCCGGAACTCCGAGGTTTATCATATATAGAGCGGCTTGAAAATCTGAACCTCTTTACTCTGTCCTATCGCAGACTAAGGGGAGATCTAATATTGATGTACAGAATACTGAGAAATGATTTCGGACCTAACTTATTCTCTCTCTTTCTTCCCACTAGATCGGGACACCTCAGAGGACATAGCGGGCGAGTAGAAAAGCCAAGAACCAACAAAATACCCGTGGCATACAGGTTTTCACACCGAGTCATCAATACTTCGAACCTGCTGCCTGAAGCAGTGGTATCCGCACCTTCAATTGACTCTTTTAAGAGAAGACTGGACACTCACAGAAGCATACTAGAAAAGGAATAACATAGGCCGTAGGCCTTCTGTCCTTACTACACAAATCTGAAATCTGAATCTGTTTATTAAATTCGTAAATTTGTGGCAGACAAAGGTTGATTCCTGGTTGATGAACCCTACATTTTAGTACTACTGCTTTAATGTATGACGTACGAAAAAACACAGCACTATAATAATGCGAACAATGGACCGTTATATATGGAGTTTTTTGCTATTAGTTAACCATGAAACACAGTTTTAAATTTACCAGTAAATAACATCCTGACAGGACTGATTAGTTTGATATCTTTTGTAAACAGAGTTTTATTTCCATGTAGGTTTATCATGTCTAAGAAATTAAGCTCTATATGAGAAGGTGCTTAAGGTCAGAAAATCATATAAATTCTAGTAGTGCTTGAAGAAGACAAGGATTATTACACGAAAGATAATGAAGTGTTATACAAAGTGCTTAAGATCTCGAAAATGGTTAGAGACTAAACTGTATACCTTTTTATATCACAGTGTAGCTTCTCTTTATCTTGTAACGTCTGTCTGTGCTTGATCATGTGATAATCTCGTTCATTCTTAACTTTTTTCAACTCATCACTTAGCTTCCTATATGGGAATAAATAATTGTTATTCGGAAGCTTAAAATTACAAAACTGAATTTTTCAAAGTCAGATTTTCTGATCTTATATCTTTTATCACATTTCTTAGCTCATCGTTCTGTATATAAATATCAGGAACTGGGGCAGCTTCTTTATTCAATAAACCTTTATGCAAGAACTTGAACCTAAAAATCGAAATCGAGAAAATATCAAACCATTCTGCTTGAAAAACATTAAGAGTCTCAAGAAATCCATTGTTTTGTAAGTAATTACGGAAAAACTGATCAACAGATGGAGGAGAAACTTGAGAATGAACATCAGTAGATAGTCCATCAAACCTTTCCTAAACCACGGTATTTAAAATTTTGAAACTACTTTTGCTTCTGAGTCTTTTATCGTCTCCTTGACTCTCAAGACAAGCGGATCAAGTTCATCATCTTTCAATGTATCTGGTAAATCTTCGATTTTAACCGATACTAAAGAAGATGCATTGTCATCTTCAGGAATCTGTTCGCCTTTGAGCAGTTCATATTTATAAAAATTGACAAAATGTTACTTTCAATGTAATATTTACTGCTATCGATATCCATAACTGTCGCCTATCTAAATTCAATTTTTATTTACTGTTTTGAAAAGTTACGTGTCGTAGCCATGTCAAAACTAGGGATTGGTATTTTAAAACAAAATTAAAAGTACAACAAAAAACGACGAGTTGTAAGATGTCATAACAATAAATCATTCCTTAAGCTGTTTATGTATACTTACGATATTTTTATAAAGTTTGCTTTGTGTACAATCTGAACTTTTGAAGCTTATTGATTTTTCTCTGATTTTATCGTGTTATGTTGTTAACGAAATATAGATCCAGCGTTCCCTCATATATAATTATCGACTTTATGTGCGTTAGTTAACAAGGAAATAAGGTAGGTGAAATACAGAAATATATTTTGGATTAAAATCTGGATTTTGTGTCCTCTCAGTATATCAGTAACACCCGATTGAAAATGATTCTCTGCTTTGTGGTATCGATGAAGTGGTAAATAACTTACTCCAATAAATAACCTCACAAACGCCTAAAACTGGTAATACCATCGTCCGATTTGATGGAGACTACTGGCTAACCTCTTCCAATTTCGCATCATTGACAGATCACTGAGTGACTTCGTGAGGAATGATTGTCAAAATGGCACGAAATATTCGATGTAGAAACCGACACAAAAACCCCCATATACAAGACTCCAACGGGCTACTGAGCGAAGTGTGTAAATGAGAGAGGAGGTTTATCTGATTGACCCGACTAGCATGCAAAAGTACTCATTTATTTAAATATATATATATTCCCTTGATAATCAAACGCTTTCCTTGTCAATCATGTGCACTCGTTATTAGGAGATTATTGATTGTGCCATGTTTCATTCTCATTTGGCAAATTTTGATTCATTTACTGTATTAATTCCCCTGTTCTCCATAGAAAGCTTGGAAGTCTCACTCTCCTCAATTTATAACTAAGACTATGTTTACTTTTCTACACAACATGGAACACCCTTTTATTTTTGCCGGAATATATTTATGAAAACTCCGTTAAAGTTATTTCTAAAGTTGTCACACGCAGTTTGGTTCTTGAATTGTAAATGCTAGGAATTATTTATGGAACACTATTACACATATTCTTATCAGACAATTCTTAAGTGATTATATATATATATATATATATATATATATATATATATATTCTTGATTTATTCCTAATTTACTGGTTACAGTTTCTCATATTCACAGCCACTTTTGACTTGATGTTGTATAATTATTGGTTTGGTTCTAAATATAAAATGCGGTCTGGTCTACATATGTATAAAACACGCACATTTGATATATACGATTCATATAGCGGGCGTCGATAATTGTGTTCTGGAATGAACCGTCTGCGTTATGCGGGAAACTAATGTGAATAGATCCGGTAGGGTTCAGGGCTGACTCAAAGCTGATCGTGCTGGTTAACGCATCTTTGGTTTTGCTCATGGATATGACCATATAAGTTTGTGTTTTGATCGGCGGTTTTGTCACGTGATATACGACGGGTTGTAGAATTATGGTCAACTTCGTTATTAGCACTGCTCCAATTATAGACCTAATCCTATAATTGTAGATGACAACCTGGTCTATAAGATCTTAAGTGAAAGTCACATGATTGTGTACACTAACTCATTGTATCGTGACAATAAGCCGTATGAGTGGCGTCCCAAAAGAACACTGGCTGGAAATTGAACAATATACTTAATATGAATAAAAGAGGTATGTTACACAAGAGTGACCACGATTGAAAGGCTGAATCATGCCATCCGATGAACTGAATTACTGTTCCCACGTTCTCCATAGTTAACCATCTCTTCGTGTCAACTGTTGAATATAAGTCTTTTCAGTTATTATATGTTCGGCTTCAAAAGTCGTGTGGTTAGGGTCCAATGTCACTACATGTTCATAGAGCATAACGGGTCAATTTGCTTTTTCATATATTTTTGTTTTCTGTTCACAAATTTTGCATTATATTATACACTTAAATATGTCTTACCGCAATAAATTCTTTAATTAATTTGACTTACAACCCCAGCATGCTCACACTCTGTGACTTATTGCTTATAACCAGAAGCTCCATTTTAGCCCATGTTTGGTTTGTTTAGAGTATCAACAAGCAGGTTTGCACTCAGATTTTCGAAAAACGAAAGTATACGATACAAACAGGTCTGCAATGATTGTGAATACTGCTGTTCAAGCGAGCTGGAATCTTTTCAAAAGTGGTCGTAGATTTCGTATGAACAACCAAAATTGATTGGTGGATCTGTCAACATAATACATACAGTCCGTCACGTTTCAGCTAGAGATAATGAATGTTTACTATGTGTGATGACGGACCACCGGTGAACTCGAGGAAGCTGTAAGAGGCTCAGAAGGAGCCGAAGACGTCTCATCCAATCACCTTTCGGAAGAATATTCTAGAATTCAACGTGTAGCTTCCCGGTTGGATAATGCTAATAACCCCCTGTATGCGGATTGGAAGACTGTAATGATGATTTCGTTCTCACTAAAAACTATAAATACCTGCCAATTTTGTACTATGATTGACACTGTTCGGAATAATATTCCTTTCCTTAGTCTTCTGTCTTCTTACTGCGACTTGGAAGGGTTTGGTGTTCTAGTGCTCTGTTATACGCGGTAGTATCAAGAAAAATCAACTCTTCAAGATATAACATCTAGCGACGGGTTGTCGTACCAATATGTCATTTACCTTTGAACAATTTGAAGCCTTACTGGAACGCCAAGAACAGTTCCAGATGCGCATGATAGAGATGCTAACTCAGAAAGTGAACCTGGATCAAAAAGTAGTTACAGATGATCCCTTCAAATCTCATGTTGACCAGATTGTTAAGTCTATCCATGAATTTAATTTTGATGGTTCAGCTAGCATTACTTTTGAAACCTGGTTCAAGAAATATGAAGGCTTGTTCAAGGTCGACCTCAAAAAACTTGATGACGCCGCTAAGGTCAGAATACTCTTGCGAAAACTTGGAACTATTGAACATGAACGTTACAGTAACTTTATCCTTCCAAAGAATCCAAGATATTTTTTTGATGCAACGATTGAAATTTTGTCGCAAATCTTTGCTGAACAGTCATCCTTGTTTAATATTCGTTATCAATGTCTCAAGATGACAAAAGCAGATGATGGTGACTGGGCGAAGCATGCGGGGTTGGTGAGCCGTGAAAGTGAACGTTTCAAACTATCAGCAATGACAGAAGACCAGTTTAAATGTCTCGTGTTTGTGTGCAGCCTCCAATCTCCCGAAGATGCCGATATTAGAAGCAGAATTTTGAGTAAAATTGAACAATGTCCGAAAATGACACTACAAGAAGTAACCGCAGAGTGCCAGAGATTCGTAAACCTAAAGCATGACACTTCGATGGTCGAAAATAATGGCCAGTTGCCGTACGTTCATGCTGTAAGCAGAAAGAAAGATTCTTACTCAAGAAAGGTATCGCACACAGATAATCAGCCTTCATCTCCATGTTGGTCTTGTGGGGGTTCAGCATTATAAAAGATTCTGCCCATATAATGAACATGGTTGTAGCAAATGTCATCGAAAGGGACATAAAGAAAACTGCTGCAGAAAAAGAACCCTTAAACGACATTCTTTGAAACCTTACTCGAGGAAATACAGATTTAGTGCTCGAACTAACAAAATATTGGTATCACATAATCGAGCACGAATTTGCCTCCAAAGAAAGTATGTAAACTTAGGTATAAATAAAAAGCGTGCCCGCCTGCAGCTCGACACCGCTTTGGACATCACACTTATTAATCGAAGAACTTGGAATCTTATCGGAAAACTACAGGTGCTTCCAACAACCCAGTTAGCTCACACCGCTTCTGGAGGAAAACTAAATATTGTTGGAGAGGTTTGTTGTATAGTTTCGAAAAGAAACGCGAAAACGAATGCAACGTTATATCTTACACAGAATCCAGGACTAGATTTGCTAGGTCTAGGCTTGATAGAAACACTACAATTAGCAAATCACCCCATTAACCACATATGCAGCGCAGTGAGAACCAATAAATCGGTGGAAAAGGATCTGAAGAGTGTTGTATTGGAAAGACACAGTCAAGTGTTTACGGAAGAGTTGGGGGAATGCAAAAAGGTTAAAGCACTATTGATTCTTAAACCGGGAGTCACCCCCGTCTTCAGACCAAAACGTCCGGTACCCTGTGCAGCACTACCTATTGTTGAACAAGAATTAGAGCGTTTGCAAAGAAGTGGAATAATCGAACCAGTAAACTATTCTGATTGGGCAGCTCCAATAGTGATTGTTAAAAAGCCTAATGGAAGTATCCGGTTATGTGCAGATTATTCGACTGGATTAAATGAAGCGCTTGAAGCCCATCAATACCCATTGCCGGTACCAGAGGATTTATTCGCGAAACTGAATGGGGGTAATTATTTTGCGAAATTAGACCTATCAGACGCTTATCTACAGATTCCGGTAGCGGATGAGTGTAAACATTACTTGACAATAAACAATCACAAGGGGTTGTTCCGATATAACAGACTTCCTTTTAAAGTAAAGACCGCCCCTTCAATCTTCCAATAAGTTATGGATACTATGTTACAAGACATTCCTGGTACCGCGGCCTATCTCGATGATATACTGATTATGGGTACAGACTATGCTGATTTAGACAATAAGGTGGATACGGTTCTCAGACGCATAGCACATTATGGATTCAGACTGCGTGCCGAAAAATGTGATTTTTACATGAAGCAATTCCGGTATTTGGGATTCATAATCGATAAAAACGGGAGAAAACCTGATCCTGAAAATGTCGAAGCCATTACGTTCATGCCTCCACCGACGGATGTATCAACTTTACGTTCTTTCTTGGGGATGGTTAGTCATTATGGAGTTTTTCTTCCAGATCTGCATCGCCATCGTGCTCCTCTTAATTGCTTATTGAAAAAGGATACTAAATGGTTCTGGTCAACTGAATGCCAGGAAGCATTCCTAAAACTAAACCAGATCCTTTCATCAAACCTCCTCCTTACACACTGTGATCCCGATCTTCCAATTATAGTCGCAGCAGATGCGTCGAACTACGGAATCGGAG